TGGACCAAAATCAAATTTACCTTTACTTGTAATAGATTGTATTCTAACAATTATACTTTGGAAATATGTAAGAACAAATAAAATAGAAACAATAGTATTAGACTTAAAAAAGATTATCATTATTTTTTTTTGGTTGAATTCTTGAGAAGTATAAAGTGACAAAAACAAAAGTCTGCTTATAATTTCTTATCTTTGTTTTTTCTTGTCAAGCAACTGTAAGATATGAATATTTACCTGTCTTACCTAAATTTTATGATATTGACAGTTAATAATAAATATCACAGTATTAAACTATGTTGATTACAATTACAAATATCACCTAAATGTAACTGTAGATATCTATTAAATATAGAGTTATATAGGAAAAAGTATCAAGTATACTAGAGTAACTGTCAGATTGGTTAAATATATCGGCCTATTTTCTGTGTGACTAAAAACTGAATGCAGATAAAGACAGAACTATAAAAAATTGATAAAAGATTCATAAAATTTTAATCTTCGATCTTGAGGGTGTGGGTGTAGTCGGAGGAGAATACGACACCCTCAAGATTAATAACAACAAATACCTACAACGATTTTAATAAATAATTAAAAAAAGATTTTAATAAAATTTCACATACATTTTCCGTTCGATAATAATTATCGATTTCTTCAATTGGTTTTCCAATGATGTTGAACATTATTATCTTTATGTATTGATTGTTCTTCTAATTGTTGACAAGCAAGACGTTCAGCTTCTTCTTCTCGATAATGTTTTATACGTTCAATTGATTCATGTGTAAATTCTCGAAAGATAATCGAATCATAATCCATCGTGACTATTAGAAATTACATATGTTCATACATATTTTCTACAAAATATAATTAAAAACAAATTTCTTCTTTTACTTAAACATAAATCTATATAGAAAAGTCTATCCCTTTTTTTGTTGTATGTTTTGAGACTAATGAAAAGAAGATTATAACCAACAGAATCTATAGAATAAGAACGTAGAGAAAGAAAATATTTTCAAAATATAAGAAACAACTAGAAAAACAACATCAATCTTAGCAAGCGGAAAATATTCTAATATGATCTATACTATTTATTATCAAAACAAGAAATAAAATGGCCTCTCATAATTTTCTATATATATACATATACGTATAAGGAAGATTTTAACTTGTAAACTCAAACTTTTCATTAGTTTTTTGTATATATTCACTCGATAAACAATTATACTTTGAGATACACATTCTATATTTGAATTTCTTTACATAAAACAAAATTTCGTAAAACTTTCATCGATTTAATACATCAAAATCATATTATAATAATTTCATTTTAATTAAAAATCATTTTTATTTACATAGATTATGATAGTCTAAATTAGCATTAATATTCAAAATAGAAAAACAAAAAAAATAAAACTAAAATCTGATAACATAATATACATTATCATAGTGAATCATTTACTTTTGATTAATTCATATTTCTTGAAAAGTAATTAAAATAAATGATAATTTCATGAATAAACAAGAAGAAAAACGCAATTATATCCAATATTAAAAAACTGATTCAATCAAGTGGCAATTCTATCAATAATAAACAAGAGATAAACAATATTATTACTTTATTCCGATGTAACAAAAAAAAATAACCGAAATAATTGATCAATTTTAGTGAATTATTTTTTGATTAAAATAATACTATTAGAATAGATTTGCAATCCGATTAATAATCCGAAAAAAATTGATTAAAACCGGTTAAATTGAAAGAATTAGTTTTAATAGATTATTTCTCATTATTAATCGGATTAACAATCGATTATAATAGTGACATTTTAATGAATTTTTTTGTTTTCAATGTCTTTTCTTACGATTTACATTAACTTATTCTAATTTATCACTTTCTGATAATTCATTTTAATTGTAGATATAAAAGATGAGTTCTTTTCTTAAGATTCTACTTCCAGTTTGAATTTAATCTGTTAAAATTGTTAATGAGTATAGAAATTTATCGAAATCTCAGACTAAATCGAATTCAATTCTAGTTAACAATACTTCTTTGTTTTTCCTCGAGTATTCTCTTTTATAACATAGCAGCGCGAACTGCTACACTGAAAAAAATTATCTGTAATGAATTCATGTAACACAACAATAGATAACTTAATTAGAATCGATTAAATACAAAATATATTATTTTGTGACTCCTCTCCCCTCTTTTCCTTCGTGGTAGATCTTAGCAACCGGAATCAAAAGTTGCTAAGAATATAGTTAGAGTCCTGCAAACCGGACGGATACCCGACCCGGACCTGGGTACTGAGTAAAATTCGCCGGGTCGGTTTGGGTCCCGGGTAGGAGTGTATACCCCACCCCAACCGACAACTAGTGACATCACTAAATTTATAGCATTTTATTCTGATACTATTACTAATATCAAAAATGAGGTCACAATAAATCTAATAATGATTAAACGACCCATTAGTCATTGAAATATTTCATAAAGAAAAGTTTAGTTTCTTTGAATAGCTTTTGTTATGTTTCGGATAAAAAGCTTTTATTGTTTTATTAATTAACATCTTACAATACGAAAGGTGGATGTGGGTGTGGGCTTGTGTGTGTGTGGATGTGAGATAAGAGCAAGATCCACATCTTCAGCTAACTCGTGATTCACTTGTTTTTTTACATAATTTTACATAATATATATTTTTATTTGTTACTTATGAGTAGGGGTAGGACAGTTCCATATTAGTTACGTTCTCAGGAACTGTATAATAGTTCTTTTGACCAGTTCATCTGAACTTGGAACTATGAACTGTCCTACCCCTACTTATGAACGAAACTAAATGTATTATATTTATTGAATGAAATAAAGGTTTAGAAATTTGATCATATTTTGAAAAATAACTGAGTAGACTGGTTCGGGTCCGGGTCTAGCTTATTCGGTCCGGTTCGGTTCCGGGTGGTTAACTAGCCGGGTCGGTTCGGGCCCGGGCGTAAAAAAAATCGCCGGTTCGGTTTCGGGTACAAAAAAAAGCACCCGTGAAGGACTCTAGTTTCAATAAGAAGTAGACATAAGATCGATAAGGATTCTTGATTTGTATGAATGATTTCAAATCGGATAAAATCTTATACCTTTAATCGATGTTTAAGTGTCTTTTTTTACATAAGCAGTAGCAGTTTCCTCAGCTAGTTCAACTTTTATTAATAACGCTTTTCCTTTTATCTCATCAATTCATTCACCACCATTTATGTTTAATGTTTATTCATACTCGTCCTGTGTGCATGCTTGTAGTTTTTCTTACTCTTTCGCTTTACTCACCTAGTTTCTTATCATCCCCATATTCATAGACCAAGCGCATTTGTTTTATCTTATTTTGCTACTGCTCTTCTCACTTTCATTCTGCGTGTATTTATTTCGCTGTGTGTGTATCTCTACTTTTCATTCGTTTCATCATTCTTTTGGATTGAAACGTAACACATCATTTAGTACGTTTTAAGTAGGTGTTTTAACGTTGCCGTTACTTTTCCATAGCACAGTCGGTATTAAACTAGATTTTATTCTTTCCTATTCACATATTTGCGTTCCCTCATTTTTAGATTAGCCTTGATTCTTATTACAGACAAATTATCATTAGTCTAGAGTCGTGTTATGTAAGAGGAAAATGATTGATTAGAGTCATAAATCTTCACGAGACAGAAGGTTAGATTTTCTATCAAAAGTGTAACCCAATTAAGTTGTAAACCTATCTATTCGTATGCTCAATGTCATGGGACGTCGACCTTCTATCTCATATAAGAAAATGAGAGTGAGAATGAAGATAGGAAAGGTTGAGAAAAAGCGGAGAATAGAGAACATTTTTTATTACTAAAACATTCGTAGAAGCATTCATGATCATATACCGATATTAGTGTATTCTTATAAATACTTCTTAATATATTATTAATTATATATGTCTATTATTTAATTTAAATAAGCATTTCTTTACAGATAGATGTCAACTTCATCAACCACACGTGTGCGAATTCGTGAGTTACTACCGAGGCTTCAACTTGGTCGGTATCAACCTGGTCTTCTTAACTCTATTACTGACGTTCCTGGTATCCTAGTAAATACAGAGTCGATTATTCTGCCAGCTTCCACATCACACAAGGAAATCAACACTGGAGTGACTACAATCCTCCCTCGTAAAGATTGGTTCAATAAAGCATGCTACGCCGGCTACTTCCGCTTCAATGGATCTGGTGAAATGACAGGAAGTCATTGGCTCGACGAGACTGGACTCCTGAATTCACCTATCATCATCACAAACTCATTTGCTGTCGGACCTTGCTACACTGGAATCTACGAATATGCTATTCGCGAATATAAGAACGAACAAGGACTTTGTGATTGGTTTCTGTTACCTGTTGTTGCGGAAACCTGTGACACTGCTCTTAATGATGTTACTGCATTTCCGATCAAACCAGAACATGTTGTCCGTGGAATTGATAGTGCTTCGAGCGATGCAGTTAAGGAGGGTAATACCGGTGGTGGTACCGGTATGTGGTGTCACGGTTTCAAGGGTGGAACTGGATGCTCGAGTCGCGTCATTATGGGCACTGTGACTGATGTCGATAAGAATGAAAAGTTGGTACAATATATTGTCGGTGTCTTGGTCCAATGCAATTACGGCGCACAGCGAGATTTTCGAATTACAGGTGTTCCTATAGGACAAATGATTATTGCTGAAACAGAAGATGCAGTTAAAAGTAAACAGATGCCGGAAGCAATTGAATCGAATAAAGACGGTAGCATCATCGTCGTCATTGCTACAGACGCGCCCCTTAGTTCAACACAATTACAGCGTCTAGCAAAACGTGCGACTGTTGGTCTATCGCGAGTAGGTGGCTGGGGTTCGAATAGTTCTGGTGATATCTTCATTGCCTTTTCCACGGCACATGAGATCCCACGAGCTCCAAAGTTCTCCTGGAATCCAACTGTTTCTCAAACCATTCCAATCATAGAGGATCCGTCAATCAATGCCTTATTTGAAGCTACGGCAGATGCTGTGGAGGAAGCGATCTACAATGCGTTGTGCATGGCAGAGGACATGACTGGACCAATGGGATTTGAGGTCAAGGCGATGGATTTGGAAAAAGTAAAGCAACTGATGGAAAAATATTTGTAAGTTTAAACTCAGTGAAGAAACTGAACCAAAAACAAACGTATAAAAAGCCGTTTCTCTATTGTCATTTTTTCGTTCTAACATAATTTTTTGTGATTTTGTTCTTGTTATATGGGATGAGTGTTTTTCCTCTTTATCGACCTACCTACAGCCACACCCAATCCAAAAAAGAAACGCTTTATGTAAAACAATTAATTATTGCTGAATAAAGTCATGAAAGAAAAATTTTCATTTTGAAATTCTTTTAAAAATATCAAATAAAAATTATTTCTTCTCCTCACGAAAAGAAAATTTTTTGAAAAACAAAATTATCTTTCAATTTTCACTTCTTTTCCAAATAAAAAAACCATCTTGAGGATGTGGGTCTGCTAGAACATATAACATCATTATTTGTACCCACGTCCTGAGGACTTCATCTTAGAGATATACTTTTAGTGTGGGTGTATTGTGTCTGTGTTGCCTACACCTACACTCTCAAGATTTCATCATCATAAGTGCATGATAACTAGTGACATCTTTATTTGACGGCGAGAAGAAATGATGAATGCATAGATAATAGAAAAAATAAGAGTTGATAATGGTATTGAATACAACAACAAATAGAATAAAAAAAAATTAAAATTTAGCGTGCTTCACCTTGTCACACAACTATTTGTATAAAAAAAATGTAAGTTGGAAACGATGCATGTCATAAGTATCTATATTGCTGATAATGTGACGTTAAAAACAATATCAAATAGATTTTTAAGTAACGTGATTTTATAGAGAGAAGATTCGAAAATTTACTATTTTTACGCATTCCCATTGAAAGGGTACCATTTCTTTTCGAGTGATTTTGCAGCAAGATATGAGATTACCATATATTCTTTTGTTAATTTGTATGCTGTCATGTCGTCCCACAAATTATGGTCACATTTTATACGGTATCCTGTACAATATGTATGTTCTATTAGCCTTTATTAAATCTCAGTATAAAAAAAAATCAACTGCGAGGCAGTCAAAATCATAATAATGAATAAGAATGGTATTAGGGTTTTACTCTAAAGTTCTCAACGTGAATTACATGTTCTGTCTTTTTTTTTGTTCTTCGCATTTCTTGATGTTTGATGTGTGTCCATTATCTCTTTTTGTATGCATCTTCGTTCTCTACGTTAGTATGTATACATTAGACTTGTCACTCTTACTTTACTCCTCGTCACTTGCTTTTCATCATTTTATGTCTTTTCTTTGTGTTATTTTTGTCCTTGTCGTGTCCTCGTAAATGTTTCTTTTTATCTTTTGAAGAAATTAAAGGTTTTCAAACTTAGTTTAACAAGAGTATAGATTGATCCTCGAAGTCTTGAACTCAATTTGTTGAGAAATCTGTTGCCACAGGCATAAAATTCAGTAAAACGTTTATAACTCCCGAAAGGAATGCCGTCGGCGGAAATCCTTTTACGTACTCGAGATTCCTTACGAAACAATATGTGAATGAACGAAGTCAGATTGAGTGTCTGGGATGTTCCCTGGTTAGTTTCACCAGTTTTGTTATTAACTTTTTCTTATTTATTTACTTTTATGAAGTACAAATCATCCAAGAAGCTGATTACGGTTTATTAGTGCAGAGCATTTACGCAGAAGTTGTCTCAATACAGACTATATGGATACAAAATCAGAGACTTTGTGTAAAACAAAGAAAACTGCACTTATCAATGTTCGCGTATTCGACGGACAAGTTATTCGTGAACCTAGTACAGTAGTAATTGATGGTGAACTCATTGGCACAGACTCAGAAGGAGCTCAAGTGATTGATGGAAATGGAGGCATACTCTTACCTGGCTTGATTGACGCTCACATCCATCTCGAGAATGAGGATACTCTCCGTCAAATGAGTAAATTTGGCATTACAACAGGTCTGGATATGGCTACATGGCCTCCATCCAAGCTCAACAATTTACGGAATCGAGTTGGAATGACAGATATTCGTAGTCCTGGAGTGCCAGCTACTTCCCCTGGAAGTCTACATAGTTGTATATTACCATTTCCTGCCGACGAATTGGTGGCCAACCCCGACGATGCTAAAAGCTATATAGCAAAGCGTATTGCCGAAGGAGTAGATTACATTAAGGTAGTGTGTGATGTGCCTGGTCCTGATCAGGCCACACTAAATGTACTGGTTAACGAAGCTCATAAGCACAAGAAACTTGTCATTGCACACGCATCCGCTTCCGTTCCATTTGCCATGGCTCAAGATGCTGGAGCAGATGTGATAACGCATGCACCTTGCGATAGGGCTCTCGATCACGAAGCTGCATCGCGAATGGTAGCTGAAAAACGTATTGCTGTCCCTACATTAGCTATGATGGAAGCTGTTACAAAGCCACCCAGCTGGAGTGCTGTACTAGGTCTTCTATTCCGCCCAACTGTTCTTTTTGCTATTATTCGAGCTCGCCGCCAGAACCCACAATATCAAAACAACAAATATGAGAATGCACGAGACTCAGTTACAGCCATGTACCACGCCGGTGTACCTATTCTGGCGGGCACAGATGCTCATTCGCCTGCAGACTCACCATTTAAGGTAGGCAACTTATGAATGAATATTCGCGCATATGATAGAAAGGGGAAAATGGAAACAAGATGAGAACTTCAGTTTTTAACTAATGCGCTTGACGGATTGTTCTGATGGCACAAATGAGCTGAATATTTGAATTTATAGGTTTTAAAATATCCGAAAACTCCCGTGAAGATGCTTTAAAAAAATGTGTTTTTTCGTTAAATTTGACTCTTTTGTTATAGCAAGATATATGTTTTGCAACGGTTTGTTTTGTACATCTTCAGGACAAAAATCAAAGCCTTTCGCGTTTTCTGAATATTCTTAAAACAAAAGCAGAGTTTTACAGAGCTTCTTTTTCAGTTACACAATGCAAAATTTATCGAAAAAAAGCATTTTTAATTCAATTTTTGACAGCAAATGCTCAGAATATGCTGAGATTCCAGAATGAAAGGTTTTCAGACGTAAATTTTTAGCTGATTTGTGCCTGCGTGTACTAGGAAATAAAATACTTTATAGGTACTACATGGCGAATCGCTACACCATGAACTGGAACTATTGGTTGAGGCTGGACTGTCGAATGTGGATGCGTTACGTGCCGCGACCTGTTTGCCTGCTAAATATTTTGGATTAATGGATCGTGGTGTTATTGAAGTGGGAAAGCGCGCTGATTTGGTTCTCATATCAGATGATCCAATTGTAGACATTAGAGCAACACGTTCAATACAGCGAGTATGGTGTGCTGGTATTGAAGTTGAGAGATGATCAATATCACATATTATTCATTTAACCATGCCAGTATATCTATCTTTTTTATTATTCATTCGTCAATATATCTAATGACATTGCAGTAATCACGAAATTTATTTACGAGCAAAATATTCTTTTTTTTATTCTTCTATATTCTTTTTGTTGATTATGAAAAATTATATGAATTATGTACAAACAAATAATAACGTCAAAATAAAAACTTTAATTTCTCAAGAATATTATCTTAAGATATTTTCTATATCAATTCTCATATCGGATATCTTTAAAAATATATATATATAAATATAGGTATATAACAATCAAATAAAAAAAGTAAGGCACAGAAAAAATTCTTAACATGAAAATACATGACAAAAGATTCAAAAGTTCATTCTGAAAATCGAAACGATATATAAAAGTAATATTTTTTCTGATTGAAACTGTTTTTCAATTTTTTTAAATTAGACTGAGATGAATTCCAGCTTCTAAGACTTTATCCTTACAGTTTAGGGAACGAAATATAATTAGAATGAGAATTATCTCTTTTGAAGTTTATAAATTCTATGATGATAGATCTCTCATGCTGTTCGATATTAAAACTCAATGATATTATTCCAGCATTTAAATTAATATTCAACAAAGTTATGTACTAATTACGTATAAGATGAGTCATAACAGTTCTAGCTGGAAAAAAAACGATTTCTACTTTTTTTTAAATAAATGCAAATGATTCAATTGAATTCTAAACAGCATTTACTAAAATTATTTCTGAGACTTTGTTGTTCTTTCTTGTTTAATAACGAAAAAAAATCAAATCAAGATTTTGTGCACTTAAAATCTCTTCGATTGATTCATACTTAATATACGGATAATATAAGATTTTTATGTATGCATTCATCTATTCGTAGCAGAGCTCGAAGGAGTACAAATGTTATAAGTAACAGTATTGTACTAGTCTTAACTGGATATTATTACAGTGTTTTTCGGTATAGTGTTACCAGAATCGTAGTATATTGATGATCGAAACTAACTTTTGACTCTTTCCATTTTCGTCCCTCTCAAAACAATTTAATTTAATTTAATCTCTCCAATTTCGGGATTTGAATTGGTCGAATCTCCATGAAATCATAAAAACTGATACTTTATTATGTTTTGTCGTGATATTTATATTATGATGTTGTGTATGAAAAAGGAAACCCTCTACACCTTTCCTCAGTAAAATTACAAGTGTGGATATTCATACAAGTACTTGTTTAGTAAAGATACTTCTATGAGTATAATTAGTGAGAACTTGCAAAGTATCCATATATCGAATATCTTTCTCAGACTTGTTTAGTGCATTGGTATTCTATCTAGGGAATGTTTCTTTTTCATTACTTTAGAATTTGTTTAATATTAAAATCTAAGAAAGAATAGAAAAATAAATCGAAATGACAGAATGTTATTAAATTGATAAATTAATTTTTAAATTTGAAAGACGATCTAAAGAATATTAAAATGCTGAAAATGTAATTTGTTTGATTAATGTACTTTCATGAATTTTTTTTATGTTGATTAAATGAAAAATAGTTTATTTAAAATCTAAAACAACAATTAAATATATGAATATCTGTCTTTTCAAATTTAACATAAATTTTCTTTTCTCATTAAGTAGACAAGAAAAACAGGATGTACTATTCGAAGAAAAAAAATTATATTTATTAATTTTTACATTCTTTTTCTAGTTTATTTTCAGTTGAATTCATCTTATTAACATTGATTCTTGTTAGTAATGGTTCATCAAAGAATTTTTTCATTATTTCTTATTCTTCTTATTACACAATCAGCTACAGAAGATATCCGATTATTTCGAATGTCAAAAATAAATGGTTGGCAATTTCAATGTGCTAACAATACTTGTTTACCATTTACTACTGTCACTGTGTCGAGTATGATCAAATGTCAAACAAATTGTTTAGCTCAAATTCATTGTAGAGCAGTTACATTTCATAAATCAATTTCTACTTGTCAATTGTTTGACGATATTATCAATCAAAACTCAAATATGTTAGCTAATACAGATACTATTAGTGCCACTGTTATTCTTCAAACAAGAATACCACCAGGTTAGTATCAAGAAAATAGATTTTGAAAAAATCATTTACAAACGATAAATCAATATATATATTCATTCAATTAATCTCATCATTTCTCAGAATAAGAAAATCTTTACATAGTTCAAATGTAATATCTACGGAATAGACTGACACTATAGCCATTCAAGAACCTTTTCTTTTGTTACTGTCTTCTACTATTTCTGTAACAGTTCTAATAAAGTGAGTATCGATTTTGTCATTATATGACGTAGTATTAAGATTTCGTTGTATCAATCATTTACTGTTAATATTATTACATTTAGTCAATAGGATCTTAATAAGAACTTAGTTTTAATAGAAAATTTTGTTAAATTCTTTCTCTTAAATTCTATATTATTTTGTTTAAAACAGAACCAACAACTACATCAACAACATCAACGTCAACAACGTCGACAACAACTACAACAACATCGTCAACATCAACATCAACAACAACATCAACAACGACAACAACAACTTCAACAACAACATCAAAAACAACTACAACAACAACAACAACCAGTAAGTGATACATTTAATAATAAGTACTTTTATTAGTCGATAACAAGAAGAATATTTTGAAAATATTTGAGTAGAAAACTTGAAATGATATCATATGTGAATAATCAAATAGAATTTCTATGGACGAAAATAAAGTCATGTGAAGATAATCTTTGTGTATCAATCTCAATATTAGAGTAGGATGAAATTTATCTAGTCATTTGCTTTTTTTCCTAATTATCGATTTAATCATAAAATGAATCGTTATCTTTATTGAAAAATATTATTTTGATGTTTTATAAAATTCTAATTTCATTTTTAGCGACAACTTCTTCATTAAGTAATGCATTTTCATTAAGTCAAACTATTGATGGAAGAATAATAACATGTAATAGCGTAAATAATACGAATTTATACACTGAATGTTCAACTTTACAACAAGGTGGTTTATATTTTCCAAATGGAGTTGCTTGTACTACATGGAGTACAACAACCTCTGGTACTTGGGATACTATTGGATTTTGTCGTAAAATAACAGGTTCTTTACTAGCAACTATATACGTTTATTATGATTGTGATACCGCACAAACACGTGTTACTTGGATTGCAGATGTTTGGTCAACAAATAACGACAATGGATTCACTCGCAATTTAAGATGTTACTATTAATAACATAAATAAACAGAAAAATAATTGAAATATTTATCATGAAAAACAAAATCTATTATTTCAATAAATCTTAAATAAGAAACTCTTTTTATTTAGTTCAATATATTTTTTTTATTATTATGAGAAGTTCTTAATTTTGATAACAATATAATTAGAACCTCTAGCTACGACAAACAAAAATATGAGCTTGTTTCTTTTTTTTGTAACACTTGATAGTGTAATTGTAGAGATTTATTCATATCAACAATACACAAATGATATTCTGCTCGATCTAAATCTTTCTTTTTTTTGAACTCAAATATTAATGAGAATGTTATTAAAAACTGAGTAAAAGTGATGTACATTAAAGTTTAGTTCAATCAATGATAAATTATATTGTCAAAAGGTCAGTATAGTATGCAATAATGTTAAGATAAGAATTGCTCTTTCTCCTATGAACGATTGAATTTAAATGAATAGTTTAAACAAAAATAATGTTTTTAAAGACAAGAAAAATAAGCAAGAGACAAATATGATAAATGAAGAAAATTGTGATTATGTCAAGATCTTTATTGGATTATTTTCAGAAAAACACTTAAACTTATCCATCAGAAGTATCACCATCGTTATCTTATTTTTGTATAGAAAACTTGAAAAACCTTTCTTTTTCTATGAATAGATAGACTATCTTTTACTTTATTTGTCTGCGGTATTTCATTGTTATTCAACTAATCTCATAATAGTGAAATTTTGGTTGGTAGGAATATAATATATATTATCATCGATATGTGTTTTCTTTGTCTTTTCGTATTATCTAATACATTTTATTAACATAGTAAAGCTTATTATAATTATTTTCGAAAAAAAAATTCAAATTCTCTGCACACCAGTTTTTGCACGGTTGAAATTTCACTATGATGAGATTAGTTGAATAGCGATGAAATATGAAAGATAAACAGAATATTCTTTTCTTTATTACTACAGAAAAAAAGCCATGATTGGAATGAAGGCTTACATCACTGGTTTTTTCTTCAAATCAACTAATACATGATGATGTTGCATCCGTGGCAAAACTTAATTAGTTGTCTCGTGTTCTAATAAGTTCTCAAATGACTTTTTTGTTCTATTTATGAAAAGAAAATGTTACAACAAATAACAACAATAATAAATTACAGAAAAAAACATTAGTTGTTTCTTGTCGTTGTTCGATCTAGATTATTTGCTGTTGGCGCTGTAATTGTCGAAATAGCATGTGTAACTTGTTTACATCCACTGTATGTTGAAAGTAATTTTCTGAAAAACTTCTTTCTTAATGATTTTGATGAGATAAGATAAATGTAGAAACTAACGGCAAAATTTAAATAAAAAAGAAAATTTGTCACTGTTGTTGAAAGATTTTCCTGTGCCGTTCTTAAAGAATCTTTTTGTATTTGACTTGTTATTGTATTATACAGAGTATTTATTGCATAAGGTATTGTTGATATACTAATTGAAGAAATTTGTAATAGTAACATTTTTGTTAATTGATATTCTTGACGTTGAGTTGTCGGTAAACGTTGTTGTTGTTGTTGAGGTTCAATGCGTCGTCGTTGAATTTTGTGCATATTTGTCCATGTTAATAATCCAAATAGAATAAAAATTGCTAATGGTAATATATTATAGAGAATTAAAATAATAAAATAATTAAGATAATATCCATATATTATTGATCGATTAACACAAACAGTTTGATTTACTGCAGCTGGATAAATATTAACCATTATAACGATTGGTAAACCATGTAAAGACCAGAAAAGAATTGTTAAAATACATAAAATTCGTGCTGTTGATATTTTACTTATCTGTCGAAAGCGAACTTCACGACAACTAATTAAATATCGATCAATGGTTGCCAAACTAACACATGTTAATGATGTTAATATGGAAACATGACCGAAATATTGTCGTGATTTACAGAGAAATAAATTTGTCTTTGTTAAATCATATTGTAAACCAATTAAAATACGTAATGAAAGTGGAATAATAATTGCAATTAAACTTGAAATTGATGCTGTAAGAAAATATAATTGACATGGACTTGATGGAAATAAACTTTTAGATAAAAACATAAGAATATTCAAACAATTTCCAATAAGACCAAAGAAAAAAACTGGAATACCAAAGTAAATTGTAAATTGTTGAGATATCAATGTTAGAGATGCAACAGACGACATTAGGTTCGTCTTTTAGATGGAATTGTAAACAAAGTTTATCATATTTAGAAATAACATATCACTTTTCTATTATACTGTTTTCGACATAGAAAAAAGATCCCATGATCATTAAGAGTTAATTAGATAGTGGATTTGACATCAGAATCAAAACAGAACTTCCTTTAAACGTAACGTCAAACACATTTTTTAATTAACTATTTTAATTATTGATGATCATGCGATTATCTTTCCTTCTTTTCTATCGACAAGAGTATTATAGAAAAGTGATATGTTATTTTTACTTCATTTAAAATTTCATATAAAAGAAAAACTAATATCGTTTGTTGTATCTTTAACATTGATATCTCAGCTTTTGCTAAGAAAATAAAAGTTGAATCTATACTGGATCGAGTAATCTAAGCGGAAACATTCACATTTGGAATACACCAAATCCAACTTCAGAGTCGAAATTGGATTTGATACATCTCTAATTCACATGAATATGAGATAAGTAAGAATCACATGGAAGTAAAGTCTGAAACAGTTACGGACAATTATCAGCTATATGAGTTATTGTCGTTGATGAATTGAATATTTGTCTGCTATATTATGAAGTAGACGACCATCAAAAACTGAAATGTCTCCACGTGTTGGATCAAATGATTTTAAGCTGATTTGATACTGTTTTGTAAGATGATTTTTATTATTCTCGATAAATGCATGACAATCCGCTATTCCGACCATATATCTATGCATATTTCTAATATCGAATAAGTAACTTCGCTGCAGAGGACAACAATTCCATTTTGTTTAAGTTCATTGTACTATTCACGATAGGTACTGTGCGAGTTAAATAAAGAACGAAGCGGTTCAAGTCTATGTCGAATTCGACGCATGTCTGTCTTGATTTTAGCCCTCGTAATTATTTTCTGTTGAATAAATGAGTTGTTTTGCGAATAAACAGATGATAACATATCATCGAAACATGTATAAAGACTAATAAATACCAGAATTATAAAGATGGAGACGTAACCATTTGCCATCATCATATTGTACCGTAGTATGTAATGATATACAGAGAATCGACATATATATGTACATTGGCATAGAACAGCACAAAAGATTTACTGATGTTGACAAATTTTTTTGGTCTTTTCTATACTGGCCATAAATTTCCTTTCTTTTTTTTCTTCTTTCGTTTATATTGATTATTCTACTATCAATGGATCTTACATAACGAGGATGTTATTGTGTATAATGGTAAAACTACTACGACTATAGTTTCGTCTTTGTTTAAGTAGTTCGTCAGGTATATTTAAAATTTATAGTTACATGAAGTTATGAACGAATCTTAACTATTTGTAAGGCATTCTATTTCTATTCAAGAAAAGAAAATATCATGTGAAGAGAGAAATGTTTAGAAAGCTATCTGTAAAATACGCAAACACCTGAATAGGAACGATAACTAATATCTATTTATATAGGTTGATAGCACTCGATGAGTTGTATCCATCAATACCTACTAACATGGCATTTGAATAGATATGAAAGTATATATTTGATTAGTGTAATTCAAAATTTATCTACTAGCACGTCATATTCATCTATGAACACTAGACCAGTGAAAAAAAAATATTTTCATCAATCTTTATCCAAAATTGATACCACCCTGTAAAATCTATGTTTATAAATATCTACTAACACTTTCCTGTTTATATTGTTCTTATCAAATAAAATATTGAGTTTATAAGAATTGATTTTCCAACACTTTGTTTTTATTTCTTAAATTCAAGAATAGAACTAGCTTTCAACCATCTTGAGGGTGTGAATGTGAGATCGACTTAACCCACACCCACACTCTCAAACTTTTATACATCATGTTAGTTTGAACTTCGACTGACTTCTTTACTCTTTTTCTTAACGAAAAAAAACATACAAAGACATGTGATTAGAAAAAGAGAGAAGAAAAAAAAGAAAAGAAATAAAGGTAGTGAGTGCGTGGTAGCATCACCACTCCCTAACCGATCAATTAAATATAAATTATTCAACTATGGTTGAGATAGTTTGCGAAATAAGGCGTTCGAGCGTTTACCAATATTAATTTGATTAATATTATTATCTTGTTCAAATACTTGCAAGATAATAATATATCTACTTTTCATTAGTTTTTGTGCTTCCAGACTGTAATTCCTTATTTGTTCGATATTTTCTACCTTTAACAATCTATTATTAACCAGATTTATAAATGGTTGTTTGCTAAAATCCGGATTCCCATTAATAATATCATTAAAATTTATTAATGTTTCTAATATATTATAATGTATCGTTTGTATATTATGCAATATTTGACATTCGCAATTGAAGTCGAGTGGTTTTGTATTGTGTAATTTTCTTATTAGCGCAATAAATGCCTTTTCATTTCTATTTTTTTCATTTTCATCTCGTATATCATTTATATATTTGTAGATTCTTTGATATTGCAGTAAACCATGACATTCAATATATGCTATAAAAATAGAGTCGAGAGATGATGTTGTATATATAGGAATGTTATTCATAAATCTATTTAAATAAAATAAATTTTACTACTTAATTGAAATCAAATCAAAGAAAAGAAAGTTAATTCCAGTCCTCTTTCAGAAATAGTCAGATATTCGAGATTGAAATGATTTTTCTTTTAACATATCTCTGTAGTTTATGTCGAAAAGAGAGTACACTTTCATTATAGTATTTTCATCTCACCCTTGTTGAATAGACGAATCTAATGGAATTTTTTGTTGTGAATGATTGTAATTCAACTGAGATTTATATCCAAACATAATTCTCATACAGGAATTTTCTTTTCTTTATCTGTTACTTTTTTTCATGATTGACTCATTTAATGAAAATCAAACGAAACATTACAAGAATATTTCATCATACTTTCTTCTTACTACTCGAGTCGGGGAAAGTTTATTTCATTTAGACTGCACATAAATTACGATAAAGTAACGTATGAGTAATCTTATGTAAGCCGACGGTAAAAGAAAAATAAAAAGTCATTCTCTTTTTCATTCAATCACTGTAAATCAGCTGTACACATGTGCCATATTTAAACAAGCCTCTATTAATTTTATCTTCGATACGACAGAACGAAAAAATATTTTATTAATGAAATGTTTATATAAGAAGTCAAGATAGTCTTAATTTTGATTCGTTTTCGTTCTATGTTTAGAAAGAAAATAATTGAAACATTAGATTTAATGAGATAACTTATTCTTATCCGTCTAGCTGCAAGATATCCAATGAATCCAAAGAAAATCAAATAAATAGTTGGTGACATTGCACTGAAGACTGATGATTTGATAATAACTAATTCTAGTTATGGACAAACTGAACGTTAATAAATTTCCAAAATTTGCTTAAATCATCTGTTGAATATAATCACGAGAAGTAATTGCATATTTTCTTGCAAAAATTTTCATTCGCTTTTCTTCATAAAAACTTGCTCTCCTAAAACATGTTTAAGATTTGTTAAACAGCCAAATGCAAATTATTTACAGTTTTTTAATTTTCCAGATATCTCGTTGACGTTCATCACTATAAATTCAAATAATATTTTTGACAACTTCACCTTCATATGAACGATTCAAGATTATTTGGCATTAATTCAGAAGGAAGTTTCTTTTCAAAATCACCTTTTGTAATAACAATTCCACGATGTGAATTATAATTGGCTATTACAAATATTTCTCCAATTTAGATCTAAAAGAATCTTGTTCTCTAATAAAAATATTTGATTTAGAATTGAAAGTTTATCAGATATTTTCATTATTACTTTTGAATTATTTGAATTATACATAAATAGATAAAAATAGAATGAAAAAAATAAGTATTTTATTTTCTTTTGCGTTCTTATCAAGCATAATATAATGATCGCATTCATTTGTTTTTAATCAAGGTTTGTTTTTAATCGAACGTAACATGTGTGCACGAATAATAATAAATGAGAGAATGAAATCTATCTAATACCCTATACTTATTACAATGAAGCAATTATATTATTAAATGAATCAATATAAGGATAAAAACAATCGACAAATTTACCTACACGTTTCATTTAAAAATATATCTATACGTACAGTACATATTTTTACTAATGTGATACAATTATTATTAAATGACGTGTATTTCTATTCTTCTGTCGATTATCGTATGCATCAATAAATAAAAAACCCTGATTGTTTAATTTTATCGACAGGATAAGGTGAATCTAAAAACTAGGTATTAGGTTCTCCTTGAAACTATTGAATATATCAATAATTATGTTTATTCGAGCAATAACACATGAAACTAAAAGATATTACAAATATCTTTTTGCTTTAAAAATGGTATTTTGTTCATTAATAGCACTAGGTACATATATATTCGATGCATATTATTTTATGGTACATGCAATAAATGAAACTGATCCTGGTCGTTTTGAAGGTTTAATTTCAACTATTCTTATTATTTTTGTATATATGCAATTTTGTATTCCAATACGACAAAAATCCTTACTTACGATATTTTTTCTTGTATTATGGATACTTCACGTAGCTGGACATGTTGGCTATCTTATTGCATTTATTTATATAGGAAACAGATATGGTATTGTTACATTTGCTTTATGGATACTTGGAACTACAATATATACAATTGGATTAATTTATTATCGTGTAATTCTTGGTCGATATCATTATATTCAAATACGAAATCAACATTTCTTTCATTTTATATCACAACTTGAAATTATTTTGGCGATTTATATTTCAATTTATGGACTAAGTGAAATAAAAACAATCAGTCGAAGCAATGTCGCTTTTTTTCTTTTATTTGATTTCTTTACGGGAGATTATGATCGTTTTCATGGTCTTCTGATCAAAGTTGTTCTTCATATATTTGTAGCCTGTGTAACGGCCTCAGTAACACTCGAATTTATTTTTGTCAGCGTCAGATTACATGGTTATGAAAATGCTTCATATATTCTTGACGTTGTTTCTGCATATATCTTTTTCCTATTTATCTTTCTCCAATTTCATCATGTCAATTTCAAACCAGAAGAACCAAAAAGACAACGAGGAAATGCACCACCTGTTGGAACTTCCTATACCACCACGCTCGGTAGAATTGTCCCAAGGCCTGCATACACAAGAACAACACGACGACGAAAGTAGAACAGTATCAAATCATTTCGTTTTACTTCTTTTTCTTTATTTATTTTTTTGTTATGCGACACTAATACGATGATTTCTTTTCTTTAACATATATATGATCGTTTTAAATAAAGTGTTACATCGCTTTATTAACAATTTCGAATACGATAAAGAAAACAAAAGCATCTTATTCAAACCTATAAAGCTGTGAGCTACATAAAAATTAAATGTTATATAGTATTAAAACAGAGGAAAAGAAGCAGATAGCTAGTTTTTGACCGTATTTTGATAATATTTATTTTAAAAAATGAATATGCACATATCGTAGTGACAAAACGAAAGTTTAAGTGCTGAAAGAGTTGTATTCATTTTGTATAGAACAACAGAAAAGAAGAGGTTATATGTGTTTTCTGCTTATTAATCTTATTTCACAATGAAGAAGTGCATAATGAAACGAAGACTAGTCTACGAACAAATCACATATATAAGAAAAAAACTTTTATTGATGCTGATGAACAGAGTTGGATTACTTGCCCATTTTATATATATTGAATTCGATCACCAAGTGCGCTTTCTAAACCTGGTATATTAGTTTAAACTGAAAGAAAAAGACATTTGTGCCGTTTACGAAATATGTTCAAGATATTTGTACTTCTTAAGAGTGTGGTTGTATCATGGATATAATGCAGACTCACATCCATACCCACACCCTCAAATCGTAGTCGAAATAGATGGATTCAACATATGCACGATATTCATTCAATTGAATTACAATCTATATTGGATGGTATACATGCAGTAAATCGTGCTCCTCAACAAATTCAAGATAAAGATAAGGAAGTAATATTAATTCAATTCATTCATAAATCTGACCTAATTTTCTTTACGAATAGATTAACAATATAAATGGATTTAATTTACTTGAAGAAGAAGATGAATTGATTGAACAGCAGTAGTTATTATATAAAATTATAGCAAACCTTCTCAGGTCAATGATTCCTGAAGCAGTATTCGATGAATTCTCGACAGGAGCCCTGCTGGAAAATGCCAAGAATTCGACTCGGGAAATGGTTCCGGCTGAAACTGAACGGAAATATTACTTCCATGAAATCTCCGGAATACCGTGAAACCAGCCGTTTCCGCGCCAGATTGTTCGATCTGGGTTGAACAGCTACATGAAGCAGATAACTAAAGTTTTTTGATTGTCTCTTATCATAGATTTGACTGTGTTGTATTCTTTTCTTTAATTAAGTTCATTATTTATAAAAATTTATTTTCATTTTTTGTTTTATTTTTCCTTTAGGCGCATTCAAGTTGAATTATCATAAGTTACTGCTAACTCATATGGAAACTTTACAATAAAAATAAAATTTGACATTTTGAAATTTTTTTAGTAAGAATTGGTAGAGTTGTTTTGACTTTTTCTATGAATAAATTTATGATTAATTTAATTTGAAGTTAAGATTTGTTTTTTATGCGGTGATATTTATTGTCCAATAAGTTCATATCGTCTTACAGTTTTATTGATTTTATTTTACATTGATTCATTAGATGGAGCGAACATATTTGACCATTAGTTTATTAAAACTAATTTATTTAAAACTAATCGTATTTTTATGATTCATTTGGAGAAATTTTTTAAAGAGAAAAATTAAAAAATCCTAATAAAAAATGGAGAAAAATATAATAACATGTTTATTTGATTGTAACGACAAAACGAATATTGTATCGAATAGAGAGAAAAAATGGAAAAAGAAGGAGAGAGACTAGAGAGAGTTGAGGACAAGGAAAATACATCGAGAGGAAAGAAACAAGAAACAGGAAGGAGGGATAAAAAGATCACGTATTAGTGAAAAGGACAAGAGGGGTACCATTCAAAAGGATGTTCATCTATTTTCTTGGCATAACCACCACGAAGAAAATTTTTAGCAGCGTTTTCATTGGATTGAACAGTTCTGGTTTTTCTTTCACTAGTATGATCAAACCATAAAATGTTCTAAATATTAAATAAAATTATTTAAAAGCAAAATAATAATTTTATATATTATACTCTATGCGGTTGATATAATCATGACTAAACGTGATTACATCTTCTATTATCACATTATCCACATCTAAATAATTTTCAAATAATCTTTTTAAAAAGCATTATCTTTTTTTACTTAGTTCTTTAATGTAATTCGATAAAACGTTGCTGCCTCTTTCATGTTTCTTCCACTTTTTATCAAATTGTTCGAGAGTTTCCGAATTGTTATTATTGATCTAGGAGATATGGTGATATTTAGAAAATATTGTAAATATTTTAGTCTTACCAGCATTTGTTGATGTTCGTCGTCAACAATAAGTTGGTCGATGATATGTTTCGTACTTTCATCATCCAAATTATCATTCATTTTATATATAAAAAATATATAATAATTATGAACATATTTTACTTACAAAACAATAATACCTTTTTTTTCGAGAAATCCAGATCGAACAATCCGACACGGAAATGATTGTTTTCTCGAAGGTGTGGGTGTGAGTGTGGGTGGCGGAGTGTTTGAAATAGAAGATACAAATAATTCCATCAAGAAAAAACTCAATAAATAGATTAACAACATCCACTATACAATCATATTTATTGAAAATGTAGAAAGGTTCAGGCATCTCTTTATTTTGCGTCCTAAATATCATAAAGCAAAAATAAAGCATATCTCTAAACAGAAGTTCTATTTTTTTCATTTTAATTCTACTAGGCTATTCCCTGGTGATGTTGATGTTAAGTTATTATTTACATGGTCGGTGCTCAATTATATTCTGATGTACGAACGCTACATTATTGTTTATTGTTGTTATTTATATCGTTGATGGTAGCATAAATTGTTATTGATTAGTATTATCTATTCGAATTACTTTGAACTATCTGGTGATGATACAACTTATTTATATTTTCTGTAGTTTTTGTTTGCATGTTAAACAATTTACCTAGTTTCATTAATGTTTCTGATTGGTAATATGTGACGGGTTTAAGAAATTCCACATTGCTATACAATTGTTGAATTAAATATAGTATTTTACTATCTGTTATTTCTTCTTTTAGTTCATGATAGATATTATTATCACTCAACAACTCAAACCCGTCATATATTACGTCTGTTGTTAGTTCGAATGTACCATCAATGAGTACTTTGACATTTTTGATACAATTGAATTTAAAAAGGTCTGGGGATGTCACACAGAGTTGTGGAAGAAAAAGATCTAAATCTTCTACTATTTCATTAAGTAATTTAAGCATCACAGATTTTGCTGTATAAATTTTGGGTTCGCTTTTTGTTGTTGTTGTTTTCTGTGATTCTGATGATGAGGATGACGAAGTTGATGATGCTTCTGATAATGATGAGGGAAAATATGCTGTGGTATGATGGAGAAGAGCGAATCTCACATGCTCGAAGTATCCGACAAGCAAAGTAAAATGACATGTCGATACTTCTCCTATTGCAATGATGGCAACAGTAACACCTGTTTCATCAACATCAACATTGACTCGGATTGACCTTGTGATTTTTACTGAAATACAGTTTACAATTTTTACATATTAAAAAGATACATCTACTTTTTGTTGAAGTTGTTTTTTGTTGATTTTCAGTCATCTAGGGAAATATAAAATAAAAACTTGAGTATATTTATTCAATGCGTTAAAGAATTATCCGATTGACGGGTGTGGGTGTGGCTGATAGTGAGTATGAAAGTAGGTATAAGCATAATATTTATATCGCATTTGCATCGACACCCACACCTACAACCCATCAGCTTGTTTGCCACCATTTCGAACAAATATATTAGTCGATTTTCTAAAAATATTAAATTTATTTATGTTATAATTCAATAATTTAATTTATACCTTGTTAAAGTATTGTGTATATCACGCATTTTTCGATGTTTGGATAAAAAACGACTTTTCATCTATTTATTAGAAAAAAAACGAATGAATTAGTTTCGAAATATTAATAACAAAACTTACTTCAGGTTTTAATTGTCCTGCACATTGTGGATGTTGTTTTTGTGAATAACATTTCAATTTGTTCAATGTGTCACCAAGTATAACTTCAGAATTCAGTAAAACATTCATCAGTGCTTGTGTAATACAGAGATTCATGTATGTCTATCGAAATAAATACTTATAAATTATTTATTCTTAAAAACAAAATTTTACTTGAGGACTAAAATATATATCATCATGATAAAGGGTGTGGGTATATACGGAGTAGAAGACACAAGTAATTGTATCAACAAAACTCAATAAATAGATTAGCAACATCCACTATACAATCTTATTTAATTAAAATATAGGAAGCTTCAGGTACCACCTTACCCCGCGTTCTAAATATCATAAAACAAAAATGAAACATATCTCTAAACAAACTTTCTATTTTCTTTTCATTTTAATTCTACTAGGCTATCCGTTGGTTATATTGATGTTAAATTATTATTTGTTATTATTTATATGGTCGACGCTCAATTATATCTCGATGTACGAATGCTACATTATTGTTTATTGTTGTTATTTATTTCGTTGATGGTAGCATGAGTTATTATTGCTTAGTATTATCTATTCGAATTATTTGGAACTAACTGGTGATGGTACGACTTATTTAGATTTTCTTCAGTTTTTGTTTGGATGTTAAACAATTTACGTAGTTCAACAATAAGACGAGGAAGACTTCATCAGGATATATTGATTTAAGGATATAGGTTCTCGTTCACAAACCGACACACATCTACCAATGCTGTCAGTCGTCTATAATCCCATCAGAACATCATCTACGAGATATTATTATTCGATACAAACTATTTGTATAAAAATAGTTGATTTAGATGAAAACAGAGGAGATACATTCAACTTTTACTAGATCTAATTTCATATGCGAGCATTTCTACTCTCAAAATGAAAAAATAAAGATTAAAAACGTTCAAAAGTCAATATTTTTCTTCTGATGAAATTGACTTTAACATTTTTTCTAGAATAATTCTGAACATGATTGGCTATAGTTAACTTATCATGTTCTTCTACTGGATTCATCAGAATTGATTCAATTTGTTGTTGTTCATTGTCTGTCATTCCCAATGTTGAGCGAAGTCGAGGGAGTAGCAATGATAATCTAGCGATAGAATTATTGACTTTGTTCAGTGGATTGCATATGCGCAATGTAATTACTTATGTCTTTGTGAATGTTTATGCTGACTAATAAGTAAGTCAATGTACACGGTGAAATTAGCATCTTTAACGATTTCGAACGAAATAGAAAGTTGTCTAAAGTTCCCTATAAACATTTTTGGCATCGTGTTCGTTCACAAGAATTGTAATCGGTAGGCGATTTGATGTCAATCGCTAATCCGATATTCTGTAAATAATAATACACAATATTATTTTCTTCATCTACAAGAATATCAACATGTTATTGATATCGAGAGTTTTTTACTATAAAGATTTGCATTATCATTGTCAACATAAATTGCAAAAATACTTTGAGTAAAGACAACAAAATAAAGAAAAAGTATTGCGATGAATGTAAAACAATCAACAGACATGCGAGAGGAAGAATATCAAAGAAAGACACACAATGAAAAAGCGTTCAACAGGAAATAAATTAAAATGAAAAATATAAAGAGGAAGTCATGTCAAAACTAGAAAATATTAGATAAAACGATGCTGCTATAGTGACTATTGACTCTGACTCATGTAGTTCAATGCTAATAACCAAACAAGTAAAAACGAAACTGAGATGTTTTTGAGGAACAGGAAATATTATACAAATGTTTATGAATATTTCTTTACAACTTATTCTGAGTAATTCTATATTGAAACGATTGAATCAGTTCCTTTTATGTTTCATATTCATCACATTCGAGAGGAAGAGTTTCTTCAATTATATATTGAAGTGTAAAACTTCATAAAATATTTCTTTTATTTTGTTTGACGTACATCGGAAATCGATAGAATGACAGCTGTAATTTCTTTTATCTCAACAATTTTCATATTTGTAAGAGACTTCTAAAAAGAAATAACTTCTATTTCTATTTCTATAAGCAGCATATTTGTGGAAAGATGAATTCAACTATTGTTTTTCTGTCTATTAATTACACACCAGTCATATTATTATCTCTAATTGGTTTTGTATTTGCCATTCTTTTCATTATCGTCATCGCAGTTGATCGTTCTGCTTCATATACAGTAACAAATTTCCTTGCTATCAATGTTTCTATTGCTTCATGTCTTTTTCTTCTCGTTGCTTTGTACAATTATATTAATGCGCTTTTTTTTCGTATGAATACATCGAATTCATGTATCATCGTTTCTTATTTGGGAGTATCAGCTGCAGCCGGTATCTCCTATGCTTTCATGATTCAGTCGATCAGTCGCCTATTTTTTATCGTCTTCTATGTACATAGATATTTGCTTACATTTAAAACACATATATTACTGATGATTTGTGGATGGTTGATTAGTTTCACGTTTCCATCATTGCCACTCTTCTTTCTCGATGCATATTACTATGAACCAGTCCTTAATTGGTGTTCAATGAAATCAACTCCAGTTGTATTTATTTACTCAATGTTCAGTGCATGTCTTCTCCCCTATTCCATCATTGGTCTTATCTATTATTATATCATGTATTTTCTTCGTCAACAACATCGTGTCAAACCATTTGCTACCATCAACATTAGTCGTAACTTACGTGTCTTACATAATATTATGATCAATGTCGTTATTATGTCTGTGGCTGGAGCACCATCATTCGTTATTACTGTTTGTATTTTAGCTGGACAAATAACAGATGAGACTGTCATTTATTGTAATCTATTTACTTTATTTGGAGTTGTACTAATCACAGTGACATCATTTTCCCTAACGAAAAATGCAAAAAAAACATTTGTTAATCTTATTCAATGTCTTAAATAATAAATCTTCTATAGGAGAAATATCGATTCAAATTTACTTATCTTCATATTAGAGTATACTTTAGATTTAAGCCATATAATTTGATTGATATATCAAGCTTGTTTGATAACAAAAAAATGTGAAAGGAATCAAGGGTCACTAGATAAGAAATTCATAAAAATTAGTTTTTATCATTCACGATATTTAAAAATAATGAAATTATTACCTACAATATTTTGGACAAAAATATATCTCGAGATTGAATTATTAATCTTCTCTCAACAGTAATTTACATTAGTGACATCAAACGTTTTTCTGACAGGCAATAATAACTTAATGTCATAAAATAGAGATACACAATCGGACATAATATTATCATAAAAAGTGACGTTCCTCTATATTCAACACAAGCAATGAATAGTATTCACAAAGCGAGTATAAAAATAAAAATAGACGTTAATATATCACTAAATAATTCCTTCAATGTTCCTCTTTTCTTATTTATTAATTTTATTCAAGTAGTTGTGTGTAGTCTATTCTATATTTGTATCCTTTCTAAACGATCAAAATATGCCAAGACATGCAGGATAAAAAGCTTTGTAGTTTACATAAAATTATTTATGTTATAGTTTCAGTTTTTTTTCAAAAAAAAAGGTTAATTTTTAACTGTGTAAAAATATGCTTTAGAAAAATTGGGTCTGGTTAATTCCTCGATGTGGATGGGTATATTCGAGAATGAAGCCATCACACCCACATCCTTGCTGTTCCAAGTACTTGAATACTTCAAAATTTTTGACTATTAAATTGTTGTGTGTTTTGTTAGAAAAACTATTGTTTCAAAAATACTTTGTTTTGAAACCTACGCCAATATATAAAAAACTAAATCTCTTTTCATCATTCGATCATCGTAATGAGAAGGAACATTGTTGGAGTCTCATCTATGCACGAGTTTATATTTTATACTTATCATTATCCTGATAATACAAAAGGTTAATAAAAAACAAGAAAAACGATGAAATAAGAACGAATAAACAACAGGCTAAGGTAGGAAAGTTTCTGGAAGTAGCCGGATGAGTTGAACCTCTTTTATATAAAAAAAATAGAATAAAAGAAAGCATTGAAACAAATGACACGTCTACTTTACTTTTTCAAAAACTAATTTATTACTAAAAAGCCTTTCACAAATTCTAAAGCATATCGTAATAGAAAAATCTTTCTCAAATCAAGAATGTCAGAAAACGTTCAGAGATGCACAATCAAATATTAATGTATTCTCAATTGAAAAACATACGTATGACCACGTCTGTTAATAATTAGAACTAGAAATACAAATTTGAGTAGAAAAAAGTTCATATTCATATAAAGACATTATACATGCAGTTAACTAATAGTCCCCCAGACATATCTTAATGAGGATGTGGGCGAGGGTGTTTTCTTTCGTAACTCATTCTCACACCCTCACGATATTCTTTCTGGTCAAACTAAAAGCAAATACGTTTGCAACTTTGAAAATGTTATTTGTGTGGGCACAAACGATCATAATTATATCTTTTTAAAGGAGAGAACTATTAGACGTTTAATATAAAAAATAGTCATTCGTTGTACCGGGATGTTCTTTGTGATTTATCGAGCATGTTTATTTACCTGGCGATCTATATAATATAAATAAATATGAAAAAGAAGGAGAAAAAACAAAGAATACAGTCCAGTTGGTACATGTATATATAACCAACAGATATAAATAGCATTCATATTAAAATAAATAATGCGTTTTGTTGTTCTTCTCTTCGCACTCTTTGCCTTCATTTATTTGGCCAAATCAAATGTTGTTTATGATGGTAACTTTCATTAACTATTTCAGTAAGAAAAAAAACATATAAATGTAATTTTTAGCCAAACAATATCCACATAATAATCGTATACGGTGTCGCCGTTTCGTATGCTTACCTGCTATGGTAGAAGCGGAATGTAAGCGTGGACCTAAGTGTTGCACAAGTAATAGCGACTGCGGAGAACATCAAAAATGTTGTTCACCATCATTATGTTCATGTATTAAACAATGTCAGAATATTACAAGTCACTGATGAAGACAATTTTCTTCTTATTAAACCAGCAGCCTAATATTTGTGTTCGAATTATGTATTTTTCTTTCTATCATATGTAAATAAATACATAATCTGAATAAACTTATATCTTCAATAATAAGTGTATTAGTATATAGCTTTTATTTTTTTTCTCGTATGTGAACAAGTAACGAGAATATTAATATTATCGTTGAAAAAATTGAAGTGGCGAATAGAAGAGTATTCTTTTTTTATCATTCTTGCCTTTTCTTATTTACGTGTGAACATGCTGACAAAAATAAAAATAAAATTGATCGAAGCAAGTCATGTTTATGTTAAAGACAAAGATATCATTATGCTTGGTTCATTAGTCAAAGTGAAAAGAAAATCCTGTTATATCTTTGATTATAATATACAACATGTCATTTTCTGCCAGATATACAATAAATAAAAACATAAGTGACTTATAGACTCAATACTTGAGCTGGTAAAATTGTAATTCTTCTTTTGGAATCAGAATGAATTCTTATAAAACTCAAAAATTACGATGAATAGAATTTTGTGGAATATAAGAAGCATTATGTAATGGATACTGATTAGTATTTATTAGTATTTGAGCTTTTGGATGCTTCCGTCGACGTATAAAGTATAAGATGAGACCTATAATACCAAATAAAATAGGAAGTCCAACAGCCAATGAAATGGTTATTATTGTTAATGTTGAATAATTTCGTGAACCAGAACCTATGAAAGAAGAAAATGTAAATATACGACAGATATTAGATGAAAAAAAATCAATATTCATTATTATAAATATTACTTACGTATACATGTAACTCTTGCAGGATGTATAGATTGAAAACACAAATAGATAATAATCAAAATTATCAAATTTTGATTAATCATTTAAATTTATGATCTTATGATGATTGAAGATTTAGTGAATAATTTATATTTCAAAGACTATTCTTTTCAAGACAATTTACTTCCATTAGACTTCTATAAGGCATGATTTTTATATTGATTTAAACTTCTAATATGCCCATAAGGGTGTGGGTGTGGGTAGGTTGTATATATCTACTCTCATACCCACACCCACACCCATCGATATTTGATCATCTCGTTACCTAAATAGATTTTCAACCCTATATACATTATCATTTATTTTTCGATTCCAAATACGAAAAAAATCAAATGATAATATGAATACATCTCTAACACCAATTTAGTATGATTACTTTTTATCTCTTTAGGTTCTAATATCTTTGTCTAAATTAGTCATTTTCCGTTTATATTTTGACGTTATGCAGAGTGGTTTTCAATTTTTTCTATAAGAAATTTCTTTTGTTGGTACAACGTTAAATAAAAAAACTAGTTTTATAACATCGGAAAGATATTTTCAATGTCTTCATACCTTAAAACAAAACTCTGTGCATTGTCGAAAAAGTTTTGAAATCTTATGTTTATAGTTTACTTAATTGTTTAAAACATTTGGATGATAAGCTAATAAAGGCAATGTTGAAATAAAAGTATTTTTCAAGTGATAACTAAGACCGAACTACCTTTTCCATATTTCGATATCTGTTTTTGAATGATTATACGGATACATTATTCCTACTAGCAGATGTTTTTAACGGTTTATTCTAATTATCGTTTATATAAGATCTTTTTCAAAGTAGTCAAGTCCTTGAAATCTATCAGTTTTTTCTAATTTGATATAAAAGTGCATTTTAATCAAAGGATTATAGAGAAAGAATGATTTCAATAGCTTTTTTATTTTCCAATGAGAACTGTTCTTTAACAAGAAAATTGTCGTTGTCATATGTGAGTCGTGCTAGAATCAATGCAATAATTTATCCGAATATTATTTTTTTGTAATTTTAGTTGGAACAGTTGGTCATGCATTGAATGTTTATCGATTATTCTTAATTAAATCTATGACATTGAATTAGAAGTGTATATAAAGAGATTTTTGATAATATGAAAAAATCACCCCTTTTTTAACATTGTTAAGAAAATAAAATTTAAGTCAAGTGTTGATTTCTAATATCTATGAAAATATATTTAATCTAGTTATACTTGAATAATCTCAAACTGAGAAGAAACAATATTTATATTTCTAATTCTATTCTAAAGAAAATAATTTCGATAAAAATCTTTAATTGTCATTTTTCAATATTCTAATTAAAATTAATTCGACAAAAAATAATAACTTTTATTCTTAGCTATCGTAAATTTTTGAAAATTTATTTTCTTATCGAACTCATCTACTCTTATTTACTGACATTATAAATGAATGTAATTGAAGAAAAAATCTATACATATAAGTAAATTCTATTCGTATTTTACGATTAATATTTCAATACGAAACTTTTTATCTGATAACTTTTTTAATTGTACAGACCATAGTCTTTTTTTAAATAAAGGAAATTCGAAATGAATGCCTTTTAGTATCACCCAAAGATGAAAACAATTCTTTTCACTCAATTTTTTGGTAAAAACGTTTACTCTTCCTAATAATATATAATTTAATCATCATTTCTATTCTAATCGTCACAGTTGTTCGTCGGAGAACTTCATCTGGGACTCTCTTCATTATATTCACTCTACCAACGAAACTATACAGAAAAGAATTTCTAAAAGCAATAAAAAAAGTTTAAACAGCTATGTTATCGATCATGAATTGATCTTCTTATATATTAAAGTATCAACTTGTAGAATGTTCAAACATTGAATATTGTGATTGTGTACTGTCACGGACTTGTAGAACATGGGATTGGTTTTCGATATAGCATAATGAACATAAAAATATGCAAAGAATTCTATCTATGATAAATTAAGATTGACATTCAAATGAAAAATATGAATATTATTATTAACATTCGCAACCATCTCATGTGTATACACTACGACTCTCAATGAATGAATATAGGTATTGAGGCATAGTAACAGAGTGGAGAAGAAATGTTTATGTAAATAAAAATTAAATTGTATAGTTGTGAAGAAAAAGAAGATTATTTGTCATAAATCTTTCTTTTTCTGTGTGGAGAATGAAAAAAAGAAATTACTTTTGGCATTAGTCATTATTAAGACAAAACTAAAATATGCAGTATCAAGTTAAAAAGTAATTATTTGTAATTACATATGCATATGAAATTTAACGATAATGTGGACTAGTTGTTCATTATTGTAAATCAGTATAATAAAAGAAGTCAGATATATTTTAATCTTGAAGATATGAATGTTATCTTTCATACTTTTCTGTTCGTTCAAATGAAAATTCTTATCGGTCCGTTTTTGCTATAAGAACGATAGATTAGAAAAAAATGATTTAAAGACGAGACTAAAATTATTTGCTATTCATATTTAATTATGACATTCCATTCGAATAGAAAGTATCCTTGAAAAAAACGAATTTAACTTTTGATTTTTTTGAGATAATTAAAACTAATAATATATTACAATGAAAACATTTTTGAAAGTGTTTTTTTGTGTTTATTTATGTTACCAATAAGCTGAAAGAAAATTGAAAAAATGAGAAAAAAACAGATTCTTTTCAAAATACACTCTCGAGAATAGTAACGTCAAAACATTTTGTTTATATTCTAATCTGATGGCAACGTAATGCATTAGAAAGTATTATTGTGTGGATAAAATACAACTTTTATTTTCAATCAAATTAAACACACCTACGAAAAAAAGGTAAGAATAAATACTACAGTCAAATCTTATTCTTTTAATATAGAAACAATAGACATATTTCTTGTGATCAATTATGGGTGAGACAGTAGCAGATAAAACGAGTAAAATCTTAGCTTTTGTCGCAGTTGGTTTTGGAGTTATTGCATTAATACTTTGTTGTGTTGGTGTTGGTACAACACAATGGTATATTGAGGGTAGTACAACTACAAATTATCTAACTATCGCACTGAATTTCTTTCAATATTGTACTTATGATGGAACAACTGGAATTTCAACCGGCTGTACATCACGCGCTGCAAACTATCATCCTGTTTGTTATACAAGCCGTTATACGGCAACAACTGTCGTAAGTAGTAGTGATGATTGTAACAATCGGATGAGGAATGCTGCTGCTTTAACTATTGTTGGTATTATCTTTCTCGCTTTTGGTATTGTACTTACAATTATCATGGCATTTGGAATTTTAAGCGAATGGTTTCTCAATTTGATTCCTGGTGCGTTACTCTTTTTAGCATCTCTATTTATGTTAGCTGGATTAGCTGAAGGTGCTCGTTATGTAACTTATAATGGTTATTCAGCTACTTTATATGAAACTGGTCATTTATTAACAATGCTTTCTCTCTTCTTGAGTGCATTAGCAGGTGGTCGTATCTCTCACGCATGCGGTGGTGGAAATTAAACATTCGAAATACATAATTTCAACTAAATCAACTACGTTTTTATCTTTTTTTTAATCCTTTTTCTGCAACCTTATTTCATTCTGCTTTTTCATTTTATTATTTTGCACATTTTAAAAAATCAATAAACAAAATAAAAAAAACGATACGTTATTATTCATTGATTGAAAAGAAAAATGCAAAACATAACGTCATATTGTGATTAATCATTGTATAATGATTAAATTAAAAGACTCAAATATGAATACCATTGAAAAATTTAACCATTTTGAGGGTAGGTATGGGTGTGAATCGTAACAAGGTAGTCACACTCACATTCTCAAGAACTTACTTTTAAAAAAATGTTTTTTGTTACTCATTGAATACTATCTATTGTTCGAAGCTTTTTGAAATATTATAAAATTATAGAATTAGACTTGAACTATGAAAATAAATCGAATTATTCAGATGAATAAACTTTATTCCCTATAGCTATGATAAAAATGAATAGAAAAATGTATTGAGTACATGGATTTTTTCATATGCACCACATAGATGTCAGAATAAAACAATAAGAATGAAGAGAATGGTGGAATGAAAAGATGTTGACGAACAACTACAAGAAATCTATTAAGACTCATTTGAATGTAATTAAAGGAAAATATCGTAGTTGTTAACTAAAAAATGACATGTTTTCGATATATATATATATTATTTGTGAAATTTCTATCTATACTTTTTATATTATTGATTATAGATGCGAATAAGTTATGATTAAAATAAATAAAAAAAATTCAGTTTTTATGATCATTATATTTGTCTTCTCAATTGCTCAAATAATAATAATAAGTGGACAATCCTCATTTAGTTCATATTCATTTTTATTTATACGAACAAAATCATTTCTTTATTAGAAATCTATACACAACTGTTCAATAAATCTTTAAGATAATTAGTTAATTTTTTGCATAATTTAATCTAAGAGATATCTTTTTTTTACTTTCATTATGTTATAGAAAAAATATGATAAATAATAAATCTAATTTATCTTTAAGGACAATAGAAATATAATCTCAATTTCATTGTTTATCATTCATTTAACAAGTAAATTAATGAGTTCCTTTATATGAATAAATAGAAATTCTTTCGGCAATACTTCAAAGAATATCAATATAGACGAAGTTATACGAGTTATTCAATTAAATAATTATGCAAAACTATTCTCTACATAAGCATCGCTTCTATTAGTTTATCTTATTCCATCAATTCTAATAAATATCTTTAATTAGAAAGAAAAATAATAAATCAAGGAAATCTAGTAAATTCTATAGGATGTCCACAAAGTTGCTAGAAAATGAACTGATTTTTTTTTCTGAAGATGAAGAACCGATAGCAGTCTTTATTCATGAATGAACAGTTCATTTATGGCTATGGAAGTAACAGACCTTTCACTCAATAAGTAAATTATACATCAGCGTTTGTTTCACAAGATTAATTTTTTTATCAACATGTTGTTCTGAAGGGTACATACACATATACTTTCTCTTTACACTTTTATCTGATTTATTTTGTTTTGACTCTCATTAATATCTTCTATGTATTTACTTAATAAACCAATGTCACTAACAGAACATTTTTATTTCTCTTAATAGATATGAGTAATTCAATCAGATGAGAACAGAACAAAAAGAAAATTTTACAAAACCCATCAACGTTTTCTCTATTTTTCGAACATCGAACAATCCCTGAGTGAACTATTCTAATAATATATAGATATTAATAAAAATAGATCGCATTCCTACTGAATGTGCTAAGATAATAAAGAAGTAAAACACGTTTTTGGTTCAATCATTCTTTCAGAGCTTGGTAACTCAGTATAGCTCAGTTTTTGAGTTGAATCGATTTGAGTTTAGGAATATTTTTCATAATCTCAAAATTGAATTCAACTCAAAAAATGCTTATTAAGCAAAAATTTATCGAAAGAAAATGTTTTATTAAACTGCACAACGTAATCTTCCTAGTTTCTATGCATTATAACTACAAAATTCAGTTAAAAATCGTTCAATTCATCAAATGAGTCGAATTGGCTCTCCACTGAACAATTTCTAATTACGCTCTTGAGAGTGGGTGGGTGTGGGTGTGGTTAATGAATGGAAAGAATACCCACACCCGAAATATGTGCGTGTTGGTTTCAATTCACCGGCGCACAAACAGTGGATCTCTTCGTTGATCTTGAGTGTGGGTGTGAGTGTAGGTAAAAGAATTTGGCAACAGCACCTACACTTTCAAGATTGTACATTGCATCACTAAAATTAGAAATACTTTCGATGTTAAAGATTTTTACTGATTTAAGATTATTTTTCTATTGAAGATGATGATTGAAATTGATTATTAATACAATTGAAAATAATATCTTTTCTTCTTTTGAAATCAAAAACAAAATTGACGATTTATTAGAGAAGATATTTACCTACATGGTTTTATAGAAGAGAGAAGTCCACAAGTAGAATCTTTGAACAGACTTACACAATTATCAGATTCGACTTGATGATTTTGAAAATTAAAAATTCGTAAATGAAGTTTAGCAAAATTAATGAAATATTCTCATTTTTGTGCTTCAAGATATTTAAATTTATTGGAAATGTTTCAACATAATTTGATTGATAAACTACAAAGATCTAGAATATATGATAAATCATCATAGACATGGTCAATATCAATTATTGATGATACGATATAAATGTATTGAGAGTATAAAGTGATTTATATGATGAATTGTTGATTGAAAATATTTCTGATAAATTTATTAAATTAATTTCAATTGAATTATTCAATGAAAGAAAAACAAACTTTTCATTTGTTATATTACTAAAACATTTACTCTTTTAAATATCAAAAAATATTTTTATACGAAATAAAAGAAAATTTCAGATACATACAATGGATTTCTACGAGATGATCAAGAACTTAAATAAGTTTGAAAAATTTAGAAAAAATAATTTTATTACTAATTTATTACAGATTATTAAAACTCTAAATATATTAAAAGATTCCTTTTGATTTTTCAACTATAATAATTCTTCGTCTTCTATATTTATGTTTTCTAATGTTAAACTAAAGAGTACATTCTTCAATTCTTCTTCATATCGAAATAATTTTCAAAAAATTATCTTTTTTCTTTTACTTGACGTTTAAAATTTTAATTCTTTTATTTTCTTTTTCAAAACATATTTATATCTAAGTTGGTTTCAAAATTTTAATTTCAACTAGGATAAATTCGAATAGGGTTAAACATTTTTTCTTCAAGTTACTATTTAAACAATCAAAGCAAGAACCTACATGTCTCAAAGTTAACCCTCTAGTTTAATCATGCATAGACATTTCACGTTAAAAAATTTTAGTCTCTCCTACTTCGAATCAAAATTTCAATGTCAACTAGTTCGATTTAAAGTTGAACTGGATTTTGATTATTACTACGACATATTCTTAAACCTTAAATATCAAAACATCACTTCACACCAACTAAATCATTCAACAACAACAATACTATACGACAACGTATATTATCAACCAATAATCTTCTTCAATTTCCATACAGGAGCACTTTAGAAAGAAAAGTACGTATCATCATTTACCTAATACACTTTTCTTATATTGATAAATCAATCTAATTCAAACATGAACAGATATAGATTAGAGCGTAGTAACTGTAGTATTCGCATAGAAATCATTACAGATTTTTCTTGCCATCTAATGATAACTTCGAAAAAAGGAGTCGAAATCCAGATTGCGGTAGTTATATCTTCATACACTCACTCACCCTCAAGATTGAAAATAGATTAATGCACTAAGAAAAAAAAGTCCTCAACATCTCTAAATGAACACTGATTGTATCATGTCATAAACACTCAGCGTATATATTAAAATGCATGATTAACATTGTTGTGCAACAACAACTTTCATCTTTCTTTGACATTTGACAGATGCTAAATTAGAATATATCAACGAACGATTCTTTTGCGTCTGTCGGTAGTGCTGGTTTAGTTCTTGTTGAGAAGTATTTCTTGCATTCGTCGTAGTTGTAAACAAATTGTTATCAAAATAAAAATATACAGTCTATAATAGCAAACATAGTTTTACAATGCTCAACAATGAAACTAGTATGGCTAGTTTTGTAATAACTGTTATTACACTTGTTCATTCTTCATTGGCATGTATCATCTCAGCTATCGTCTTCATTATCGTTATCCACCATCAAAGTAAACAACGTATGAAGCTTGAAAATAGAATCCATTTTATTCTATGTGCAAATATTTATCTACTTATTTGTGTCTACACTACAACATTGATCAGTCTTAATATATACACATTGTTAGGTGATCTTTATGGACAAAATGTTGACTCATCATGGTGTGCATTCCGAGGATATTTTATTTCTGTCCTATGCTGTGCTTTATATACTGCGTTTGTTGTTCAGGTATGTGTTCACTGTTCGTATACGCAGTCTTACTCAATATGGAAAAAGAAAAACAAGTTTAGAAGATTAATTTTCTCGTCTGTTTTAGGCTCTCTTTCGGCTCTGCCGTATTGTGTATTCATCTTACAGGTACCTTCAAAGTTTTTCGTTCTATGTTATTCTCGTACCTGTTCAATGGTGTGTAGCGTTTGTAATGGTATCTCCTCTTCTCATTTGGCACGATATTATCTATCAGCCCAACGAACATTCCTGTTTCATTACCTTCACCAAGCTTCGTGGTGCACTTTGGACTTCGTTTACTACGTATGGAAATCCTGTTGTCTGCTTATCGATTATTTATATACGTATTATAATATTTCTTCGGCAACATTCCAATGCTCCAAATGTGCGAATCAATCGTCGACAACAAAGAGATTTACGCGTTATTCAATGCATTTTTATTCTCGTTAGTATTTTGATTATTCTTGGAATACCAACCATGGTGTTTGTGTTAATCATTGTCATCACCGGTGTTGAGAATCCTTTAACATATCGTGTAACATGGCTTTCGGCTTCTATATCCATGGTAATCTTAAGCATCACAAAGGTTTTTATGACACCACAGCTGAAAAGCATTGTGGTGAGCAGATTGTGTCAGAATCGGATCATACCTATTAATACAGTTTCGGCGAATTCAACTCAAGTGAGAATCCTGCAACAACGAATAAATCATCCAACTCAAGCATATATCGAAGATTGAAGTTTGTTATTTAATACGAATATTATGAACTACAATTCTGTGTCTTTCATTTTTTTCCAATTTAACATAGATAATATCTCAAAGAAATCATCATATAAATACTATACAATTCTTTCAATATATATTCGCATTATCAATTGCTTCCTCATAACGGTCGTCTCTATTTTGATTGTGACTGTAAGTCATTTCGTAGGGTGTTGAAAGAATTTGTATCGATGTGACTTATCTTGTTGTTTGCTATTCTCTGTTATAGACAAATATAATTACTTCGTTTTTTTGTGACAGTAGTTTCTTGTGTTAGTTCGGGAAGAAAAAGAAGAACAACGTCAAAGTAATTTTTCTAACACCTGTCAATTACAGCAAGTTTTTCTTTGCATCCAATTAACTTTTTCGTGAATTTTGATACATCTAAACGTGCTGATCTTGATGTGAAAGGATGTGAATGTGGAGTTGAGATCATCGCCATTCTCACAAAATTCGAAAGACAGAACCATTTTGAGGGTGTAGGGTGGGCTGTTCAAAGATTTACCCGAAAAGTCAATTCTTTTCAAACTGACGACGAAACATATTTAGGTGTTCAAGCTCTTCCCATGTCTTCAAAATCGCCAAGGTTTGGGCGATGAATCGCGGTTAAATCGTCGATTTTCTCCCGATTTTGATGACATGGGTTTCTTCTTCTTTTTTTTTAACTGTCAACCTAGTATAAAGGGACAATAAAAGTGAATATTAAAAAAAAGAAATACTCTAAAAAATGAATTAAACAATAAAGATCAATTGAAACAATTTCTCCACATTGATTTGATTCTTTTGATTTTTTATCTTTAAACCATCGTGAACTAAAATCCCACTCTGATTCACATGCAGCACGATTATGAAAATAAAACGATTTAATATTATATCATCACTTATTCGAATAACATGCTAAAATAAACAAATAATTATTTATTTGAATAAATAAAAAGATGGATATACTTGATTAAAAATTTGATTTTGATTGAATTCATCTTTTCCTTTCATTCAAAAAAGAAATTCTTTATATAAATGTGATAAATAATTTCTTCAAATATTTGATAAATTAAAATTAAAATTTGATAATAAATCAATCATACAAGTAAAAACAGGTGATTGAGATCTATTAAGATAATAAGTTCGATTTCTATTTGGTATAAAACCATATTTATCAATTAAATTAACAAAATTATCAATCATATTTTCAATAAGATTTAATTTATGAGATAATGTTGATAACTCTAATATTATAAAATATTTCTCGAAATCTTCCACCAGGTACATTATATGGATAAGGTAATGCAATACTTGAACTTTCTAATGTTGGTATATCAGGTGGACGTGTTAAAATATCCCATAAACGATTTATATGAGCAACAGTTGAAATTGTTAAATCACTTGAAAAATTCTTTCCAGATAAATTTGGTCAATTAAAATATTCATGAATAAATTTTTAAAATATCTTTTGAACATATTTTCGGTACACAATTAACAAATGTTTTCGTATGAGCAAAATCTACGTTTTAATTGAACTTCTTTATAAAGTTCACTATTAATAGTATCAGATAAGAAATTATTATCAACAATTCTATCTGTCTCTTTAGATATTTTTATTATCTAAAATATTTTAATACATTTTTTTCAGAAAAAATTTTTCAAAAAAAATTTCATATATCAAAAGCATTAAAAGTTAATTTTAGAAAATATTAAATAATATTAAAAGACTTCTAATAATCAGGGGCGGCGGAGCGTCATTAACCTAAGTGAGGCTCACAATATTTTCTCTACTGTGGACTTTTATTAAAGCATGAAGCAAAATATAAGTCTTCTTTTTATTAGACCTCAATAAAAACTACAACGGTCATCCTGAAAATAAAATAAATCAGAGCGTACCAGAAAATAACTTTCTCTGTTCGTTCTTCGATGTGAAAGTTGAACAGAGACTTTTCTTTGTATATGTGTGTCAAAAAGAAAAATGAATGAATGCTTGGAAGTTTTTCAGTCATTCAATACACTGTAAAGAGGATATAAATCAATCTGATCACTATTGAGCTACTTCTTTATTGCCGTAATAATATATATATGGGTGAATTGCGCTGGTATTGTACCGTTGCTTTGGAAGAACGAAAATGGTTATATCTTGACTTCTACTCAATCGATTTTCATAATTTTTTTTTTTAAATACTCCTTGCTGTTTGTACTACTTCACGTAAAAAATTGAGATTCCCAACATGCTACTGTCCTAATTTTCGGAATGAAGAAGATCAAAATTACCAGCTTCTGGTAGCGTCTATAGATGAAAACCATGATTCAATTAGACACTTTTGGTTGAATAAAATCAAATTTTTTCAATCACTTTGTAGCTATGACTTTCTTCTTTCTGGTGATATAAATTGAGCATAATTTCGGTTTTGATTCATGGATCAAATTTTGCAAAAACTGATTAAACATACAAAGTGACTATTTTATGTCACGCCAGATTAAATGCGACATAATAAAGCAAACTTAAAAGCAAATTTAAATGTTCTTTTTTTATTTGATGGAGCAAAGAGTGAGAATCGTTTTCATAAAAAAAAAAATTTCTTTTAATCGTTTGAATCAAATAAAAAATAAAAAATAGAAGGCGAAAGTAGCTTATGTCTCACTAAATGTCATGCCAGATTTTCGATTTTGTTTTCTCAATTTCTCAGGAACTAGAAAAGATAAAACCGAGATTTTTTTCTCTTTTTTAGTTGACTATGAGGTATATCTGTAGTAAAAATTTTAGCTCGTAAGTAGGTAACATTCTCAAGAAAATCATAGTTTACTTAAAAAATGTCACGCCAGATTTTTTTGAATCGAAGAGTCACGACAGATTAAAATGATAGACATGTAGAGAAAAAATTATTTTATTTTATCGTATCTTATTCGACTTCAACAGACTCCTCTCAGACAGAGAAACGTTTTATACCCTGAATGACCGTGACGTGATATAGTATAAAATGACATGATATGAAGTAAGAATGTGAGAGCAGCACCCTTACATTCATACCCTTAACATGGGCATGTATGCGTGTGGGTAAAATTCTACACATGCTCATTAGATTCCCTTTTTCATAAGCTTTCGTTTGATATATGATAACACTAAATAAATACTCATTTTTATTTCTTTTTGACAAGAAACCTCAGAGAACGATATCTTTAATTAGCCAAAAAAAGATCAGAAAAACACTGGTGTTATAATAAAACTCGAACTTTTTCGAAATGAAAAAACTGACAGTTGGAAAATTCCTTGGTTTATACACAACTAATAGAGCTCTGTCGAATGCACGATTCAAATATGCTTTATGTTCACTTTTATTTTTTCGATTTTTTTCGTCAAACGGTACAATCCCAGCGCAATTCACCCATATATGTATAAGGTATGATTGTATAAAGAAAAATCTCAATAAGTATATTCTTATAACATATATAGTCATCATAAACTAGTTCGATTCGATAAATGTGGACAAACAGTTGATGAGTCACTCGATATATTTTATTTATATACAAAAGAAAAACAAATCAGATGTTATATCATTCTATATAGTTAAGATAAAATAGATTTATATACATACATAAAGAAGTTGGAATTATATAATATTTTTCAAATAGAAACATGAGTAGTGTTAAACGAAAACATCAATCGTTAAAAGAAAAATCAAAGAAATTAAAAAGTAAATTATTTTAATAAATAGGAACAAACTCTTTCATTGTAAATATAGATACATCTAATCAATCGATAAGTGTTATTGAAAATTTATCGAACGAACTTTTCTTTGAAATATTTGATTATCTTGATGGTCGAACAATATATATGATATTCTCAAATCTTAATCATCGTTTTCAACAACTTATTAATTGTTCATCTTCTCTATTTAAATTAACACGTAGTTGTCTAGAATTACCAGAAAAATATATAAATGATTATAAACAAATGATACTTATCAAGAAATCACAAATATTTTCAATTGATTTATGGATGTCAAAGCGTACCGATGAATTTTTTTCATCATTTACTTTCGATTCATTATTTATTAATCTTAAATCAATTGTTTTTATTGAACTTTCATCAAACGTACTTATATCAGTTCTTTCGAATTTATCTTATTTACCATGTCTTTATTCATTAACTATTCGTGCTGATAAATTACAAGATTTAACTAATATCTATCAACTAGTTCTTGCATTACCAAAATTAAAATATTATAAATGTTCTTCAGTTTCTACAGTTGGACCAATATCAATTCCAATGGCAATTGATGACCAATTTAATACAATTGCATATTTAAATCTTCTTCATTGTTTTACTTTTGATGAACTTTCTGCTATATTATCATATACACCTTCTCTACGCCATTTAAAGTTTTCAAGTGAAATTAATTTGACGCCAAATTTTGCAATTATATTACCAAAAACATTATTAAATTTATCATATGAGTCTAGTTTAATTTCTCCAACATTTGATGAAATTGAAACATTTATTAGTAATATCCAATGTAAATTAAAAGGTTTAACTTTAATTATTCGCAGTCGTGATCTAAACTTTTTTAATGCTAATCGTTGGGAACAAATACTTCAACAATATTTACCTGAATTAGAAATATTCTCTTTTCAAAACTGTTCATTTATTAATAGTTCTGATCATTATGAACTTCCGATATATTTTCAAGAATCAAATAAATATAACTCATCATTTTGGATTGAACGACAATGGATATTTGAAATCAGAATCGACGAAGCAGATTTTTATTATTTAATTTCTCCATACAAGTATACTATAAATAACGACATTTTCTAAGAAATAAATTTAATTATTTTATTTAGAAAAAGATGGTATCAAAATAATTTACACCAACAAATAATTTATTCTCCTGTTGAATTTTGTAAATCAAATCAATTAATTATTGATAATATTGATCGTGATGGATGTTATAAATTAGTTAACTTGGATATTAAACATGCTTTAAGTGTATCATCATTTTATCATTTAGAAATAACAGAAGAAGATATTTTTATTGGTATATTAATTCAAATATTAGATTTATTACCTGAACTTAAAACATTAAAAATTAGTACATTCTCAATGAATCCACCAAAAAATTTATCTAATATGGAACTTTCTGCACTTCTTTCAATCAAAGTAAAAAGTCCAATTTCAAAAGTTTATCTTGAAGAAATGATTGATATTCAACAAATTTATTCTCTTATGAACCTTTGTCCACATATGGAATATCTGAAAGTAGGAGACATAGATAATATAGAAATTGAATCTATCCTACGAACTATTTTCAAGAAAATAATGGATGATGGTAATCATTATCTTCGTTTATTATGTTTCACAATCCCAGCTGCAGATGATAAATTAATCAAAAAATTAGAAAATATAATCAATACTGAACAATTACTTATTAATTTTACAATTCAACGTGCATTCGATGATGTTTATATACAATGGAAATGGGATACATAATTTATAAAAAAGAAAATAAAGAATGAATTATAAATGACTTTTAGAATTTCTCGATATGATGAAATATTTCGAAATTGAATAAATAAAAAAAATTTTTTCCTACTTAAAATTAAAATCAAATGAATAAATAAATAAATATTGCCACATATATAAGTTCTTGTACCATGTCATATATACTCTTGCTACTAAATAAAAAGTTGTACTATCTCTATATGAATATATTAAGTGATGATTTATGCTCCGAGTATATTTAAGAAAATCAATACTTTTAATCAGAAGTAGACAGACTTAATATATTTAATCATTTTAAGTTATTTTAAATTCGTTTGTATTTTTAATATAACCATTTCATGATTTATTAGTGAGCAAAAGTGAAGAACATGATCATTTACATCGAATATTGAATCCAATCTTTCATAATATTATTTTACAAACGATGATTCTGATTACAATAGAATAAACACAAAAAAAGCAGTTGATTTTTAATGATAAAGATTAAAGTTTTACAATATTATACAGAATTTGTTTATCAAAAAATACATCGGTTATAAATAATTGAAGTTATTATTTATAAAGTGCTATGTTTATATATTGTTCACTATCGTATTTTATTCGTCAATGTATTCATAATCATATTATTCTTGGTAATGAAGCACAACAACCAACAATATTAATATCATACGGAGTAATAGTTCATATAAATAGATATGTTCTTCAATATTGGAGTTCAAAACCAGATATCAGAGTAAGATAAAAACATTGTGCAACAATCTAAGTAATACTAAAAATAACAATCATTTCTCACATGTACAATACCCATTCAAAAAGACACACCTTATAGTGAAGTATCATTCGAAGTAATAAGTAATAAGAATTGTAAATATAAATTCTTTTCTATGCAAAATAATATCGAATCATATAGTATGAAGAATGCATATTTATTTTAATGTGAACAAGATGATAACGAAGACAGAACCATATGCTAATATAATCTTACTTGATAATGATAATAAACTCATGTTTAGTAGTTACAGACAAGAATCTTGTCTTTATGCAACATCAATAGTTAATTTAAATATGGTTCTACTGTAAAATGGCGAATAGTAAAAATGTCGAAAAAAAGGACGTGGTAGGTAGCGCCATTTTCACCATTCGACATTTTTAACTTTCGACGTTTAATAGTAAAATCTCATCGTATTTTCCTAGAAGGAGTTATTGCACTCACACTTTCAGATGATAATAATACATTTGTTCAATCTCAACTTTTTCTTTCTTGTTATCCAATTCAACAATCAACACAATTACAATCACTTACATTGATTGAAATTGATATTAAATCATTAAAATCTATTTCTTCGATGTTAGAGAAACTTCGTCACTTACGTTCATTTTCATTTAATATTGAAACTATGAGACAAAGATTTTCAGCATGAAATAATAATTACTTAAATGAATCTAATCAATTAAAATCTTTATTATTTATTATTTAATAGTTATAAACAAATATTATCACAATTAAATCATATCTATTAGAATAATTCAATTGATTTAATATCGATACTATTGCTAAATCTACATCAATTGAAACTTATGAAACCTTTATTTGATGATTTAAGAATTATTCTTGAAAATTCATCACAATTAAAATTACTTTATATTTATTTAGATATAAATATGTTAAATATTCCATTTATTTTACCATCAAATCAATTTATTCGTCTTAATCTAGAAATTAAAAGTACATGTATATTTATGAATTTATTTATATTAAATTATCTTTTATAGATCAACGTATTTCAAAAGATCAAACAAAATAGTTATTATTTAGTTTAATTTATTTAAAACATTTAGAATTGAAAGTAAATGTTTCGGAGAATGTTATTAATGATTATTTTTGACAACAGCTAGTTAATTCTTCTGTAACATTCAATTTCAAATTTAATGTACAAAAAATACTTAAGTCATTTCGAACATCATTCTGACTCGAAGAAAAACATTGGTGTATTGCTTTTCAATGTGGATATCTATTTACATTATCTAGTTTTACACCTATTCATATGGATACTAATAATATCTTATAATTTCATTCAATAGAATCGAATTATTCTATCATCTATCATCATTTAAATACATTTTCAATGAATAAAAATTTTCTTCACTATAATAATTATCGTTGTATTCATATTAAAACACTTACATCAATTACTGATCTTATTTGAGTCGAACATCTTATTACATCATCACTTGATTATTTATTAACTTTTCCATGTCTGAAATATACTATGCCTCGATTATATAATTTAACTATAGAAAATATAAATCTAACAATTGATATGATTGAACAAATTCGTGTACTTCAGATACGTTCTACTGATTCCATTATTGAAGAATTCTTTTTTCTATTTTCATGTATACAAAATTTAATATATAAATCTCGTATTCAATCAGTAGGAATTATGTTTTGTTTAATAAGTAGATTTAGAAATTTAACAAATACATCATTTTGTGCTGATTGTTTATATTCTATCGAAAAGAATTTAATTTTTGTTGTAATTCAAATTCATTCTGTCAAATTTATCATTGAATAAATACTCAATTACCACTTCTGATTCATTGGAGAATTAAAGAACAAGTACGAATTATTTAAAGATTTTAAATTCGTTTAGTCATCTATATTTATTTATCCTGGTAACGAAGATATAATTGGTATCGATTGAAACATATTTTACAACAATGTTTAAATAATAATTAAATATTTCTTAGAAGCTATCGTTTGTTTCTCAATTGTTGTTCTTACTCATATTTTTTGTCATAACATTTTGATACATATTTCTGTTTTATTAAAACTATTTTTATTATTATTTTTTATATGGTTTATTGAATTCCATCAAAAATGACAACATTTATCTTGTATTCATATGTGAAACATAAATTTGGTTTGCTATTGATTTAATTATATTTTTATTTTTATTTTTTAGCCAAATAATATATGAATAATTAGAAGTAACACTTCATCAAGTGTTGATAATTTTATCAAAATAAAATAGTTTATTATAATATAGTAAGTTTAAACAGATAAATAATAAATTATTAATATTTTATTTCCATTAGAGTGAAAATGAGTATTATATTTGATTCACAATTCTAATCATATTGTTATTAGGATGAGTAGGTATGAATGTGCGTATTCTGTATCCATCTCTCGTAATCTCCTACAATCACCCATACCCACATCCGACGCCATTCTTCGATTCATTACTATAACAACTAGCGCCTCTACCACCATCAGCCAAACCAGACTGAATTTACTTGAAAAATAAAAGCACAGTTTTTAAGAGAATCTATTTTAAGTAATCTGTGTAATATTTTTATTTTCTCATCTCCCTGCTTCAACCAGATGTCACTCATCGTAGTATACATGCTTTACATCATCAGATCACATACATATATAGAAGAAATACAATTCTCTTCTTATTTCTTTTCGTCTAATTCTAATTTTAGATTTTTCCTCATTATTTTTAACGGATATATAAATTCGATTCATTTTAAACACTTATCATGTTTGACTTTGGTCGATGTGGTGAGACGACATGATATAATCAAACGACTGTTCGTTTCTTCGATTGTGCACATCATTACATGAATATGGTTTATCTTCAACATTTCATTGAACATCATCGTTTGTTTGAACACAATAAAAAAAACACTTAGAAGATCATCAATTGAAACTTAAATGTCTTTTTTTCTATTTATTCATTATCAATATGAACAAAAACTAGATGATTATAAAAGGTTAGTTGATGGAATTAATTCGTTACTCGATAACAATTTTAAGTCTGATAAATTATTAAGTAAGAACTTTCTTGACCTTAATTTAAATATGAAATAGTTTAAAATAAAAACTAAGTATAGAGTTAAAGACATAAACATTTAACTAGAAAGTTAAATATAATATTATTGAAATAATAAAATTGAGAATAGATATTGGTGTACTTGTGAGGATGTTGTGTTATTTGTTTTATCTCCATTATACCTTGTTGACGTTACTATAACATTTACTATTATTTATAAGTTTTAGATAAACTTTTATTGATAGATACATAGACAGAGAATCGAGAAAGATATCTGTGCTTGTATATATAAAGAACGACAGTATTAGAAAAATGCAGTATCATATATGATATGAAAAGAAAAGATTCATACGTATTTCATTTACATATATACCGACAATTAAAAGAAATGATTAACTGACTACATACTATTTCTCGTATGAAAATAAAAACAAAATCTAATATTTTTAACTTATTTCAAAAAACAAAATCTTTGTCAGATTGTAAATGAACATTGTGAGAGAAAACACGTACAATATTCGAGATATAAAAATGAAAGAAATATAAACGAAAAAAACACACAAATATTATCGTAGTATTTTAATACTGACAGAAGAGAAGATGAAGAGAAAATGTATATATACTATATGATCATAATTAATCTTTATTAGAAATTATCTTCTAGTAATAATATCTACTAAACAATTAAAATGTATTGAATTTAGTTTTATTTTTAAATTAATCCTAAGTCATGAAATATTTCATTATCTATACTTCAAATTGAAGCAATTGAATAAAAATATAGTTGTTTATTATCATAGTTTTATACAAAAGAATTTATTATTATTGAAATCTTTTAGAAGATGATTTATTATTTATAGATTTGAATCGATTAAAAAACTTAAGTTTTATTTTCATATTTTAATTGTAGATATTATTTATAATATAGAAAAAGTAAATTGATATTATTAAAATTAATATGAAAGATATATATTTTTAAATAATGAAGAATATAATTACAAACAATGAATAAGAAATAATATCTTTCATTTTATATATTTTCTAGTCATCCAATTATTGTTGATAATTAATGAACATGGTATTTTAAAAAGAACATATTTGAATTGTAGTTTGTAAACTATTTTCTATCTTTTCTAGATTTCGAATATACCAAGTGCTCGTATTGCTCGTAGATGTTCATTATGAGTGAATGATGGTTATATGGGATTAATAAAAAACATCATTGTATTCTTTTATGTCGAAAAAAAGATTACAACTGCTTTAAATAATCATATAGATCAAGACTATGATTTATTAGAATTATTTTCTAATATTATTTCACGAACTGTTAATGCAAATATATCAACTACAACATGTTTAATTAAAAATAATGTTTTAAAATTGTTGATCCATATCGCAGTTTTCAAAACTCATCTTATTCATGTTCATCATTTGGATCCACTAATGTGAAAAATTGTAAATTAGGGTGTGGGTGTGAGTGTGCGTGAGGTTGTGCAAAGAAAAGAATACCAGCATGTATTCACACCTAGACACAGATCTGCCCACACCCACACCCCTCAAGATTAGCTGCTATTATTATGATTTGTAAGTTTCGAATATTTTTTATTTTTCTATTTTTATAAAATTTTATATTAATAATAATAAAATCTCCAACAGCTGATACAACATCGCAAAAAGGTGTGAAAAGACAATTAGCTAATCTTGATAGATTGATTGAAGAAAGTCAATTATTTGATAAAATTAATTTAACAGAAGAACATATTAATTTAATTAGTGGAATTATTGATAATGTTCAACTTGAAAATTCATTACTTAATCAAACATCTTATTATAATGTTGTTTTAACACTTTAGAAATGGGCTAAACGAGCTTTACAGTTAGTTATTTGGAAAAAAATATTACTATTATTATTTCATATAGATATCATACAGTTTTACTTAAAAAAGTTCGATCAACACATCAGAAATATAAAGAAATTGAAGAAAATGTAATAGAACGAGATCAAAAATTAATTTTATTAGATAATAAAAGTCAAGTTAATATTTTTTTTGTTTAAGATTTTTATATTAAAATAAAATACATATGATTGAGCATTACAAACTCGTTTAAAAGATCTTTCATAAAATTTTAAAGAAGCAACAGTTGCAATGAAAGAAAATCAATTAAAAACTGCATCTGAATTAAATCAAGTTTGTTAAAAATTTTTGAAATATTTATTTTTCTAGATTTTATCTTGAGAATTAGAACGAACAAGTAAAATATTTGAAACAAGTGTAGAACGTCAATCAACATTAAATGGTACATGTGCAATTGCATCAGCATTTTTAACTTATCTTTGTCCATTCACATATGGATTTTGATGTCTTATGTTAACTATTCATTGGATTAAATATATTCGAGATAGAGGAATGACTATTGTTTTTGATCAAATATCAAGTATTAAAGGTCGAATTATAAATTAGGAATTAGGATCCTATTAAAGAGAATTTACTACAAGTAAATGAGTTTTTATTTTTATTTGAAAAATTATAAAGAAAATTTCTTTTTAGATAATTGACGAACAAAAATTCTTTAGTGGACCTGAATATCATCAAATGCTATTTTCTTTAATAAAATTTTTATTAAATGATCAAATATATTATGAATGGTTAAATAATGGAGTTTTACCATCAGAAATGGAAAATCATACAATTATTATTAAATCAATTGAATATACTCTACTTCTTATTGATCCATTTGGACAATATGATCAAAGAATGGAAAAATATTATAATCTTCAAAAAATTCATTTTGATGATCAGTATGTTTTATTCTTATACTTAATAGTCAGTTTACAATAAATATTTAAAATATTTTTTTCATTTTAAAGATCAAAACATGATGTTGTAATGTCAATTGAACAATCATTTTTGTTTGGTTCAAAGATTTATATAAAAAATTGTAATAAATTAAATAGTCTTCTTTATCCGTTAGCACAATGGAAAGCAACATCACACGAATCAAATTCTATTGATGGTATATCAACTTTCTTCTTCGTTTCTTATTTAAATCTAAACTATTTGTTTAGATACAAATTTAATACTTTATTGTGGTCATCATTTATATTGTAATTCATTACTTCATTTTTATTTTCATACAACGTGTGATTCACTTGATAAAATTTCATCATCATTAGCATTATTAACAACATCTATTAATTGTCAATATAGTGTTGAAACATTATTGAATCAATTACGACAACAAATTTTTCAACGTATTCAACCAAATTTATACTACAAAAAAGTATCAATTTTTCGTTTAATACTTTTATGTCAACTAAGAATTGAAGCAATTGATTCATTTCTTAAATCAAATGCAGTCAGGTTTGTTTACAAATTAAGTATTGGTTGAAGAATAAAAATATGTTTTTATTTTAGTGATGAATTTGACGGTGATCGAGTGATTTTAACATCTGTTGCATTGGAAAGAAAATATTTATTAGGTGGAATAGTTGATCAAGCGAATGCAATCTTCGATACAATTGAATCTTATCATGATTATTATTTTCCTTATGCACAACATGATACTTTACTTTATTCAGTTCTTCAACCAATAAATTTTGTTTCTCCTAAAGAAGATTTATTATTTTTCTATTGATATTATTTATTCTTTATTTGATCAATTTATTCCATTAAATGATAAAAAGTCTCCTGAAGATAAAAGTATGTTGAATTTTTTGTTCTTAAAGAATATCCTCGACTTCCATTATTAATTGAAACAAATGAATTAAAAAAAGAGAAACTATCTGCATCTGACTAAAAACAAATTGATGAAAATTTAAAATAAATAATTCAATCATTTATTAAAACAAACTTACCGTTCGTAGAAAACAAAAATTCTTTATTTCTTCTTTTTTGGTTTTAGTTAATTATCGAGTGATAATCGTTTAGAAATTTTTATTTAAATCATGAATTCTATTTTATTTTACGTCATAGAATTATAAAAGAAAATTTACGTCAGCGGCACATTGAAGATAAAATTTTACCTAAAGTTTTATTAGATGTTTTCATTTTCTTTATGAATTTATGTTATAATATAAATAATAAAAATGATTTAATTATTCGATGAATAAATTTTTTATTAATTTCATTTAAACATTTTCATAGGTTGATACAACAAAAGCTGATTATCTATCAATTTCTTCAATATTTTACGGTGTTATTCAATGTTTATGTTGTTCATACTCAATTGATTTGATAAAAAATTCAAAACAAAGTTTTATTCAAAAATTAAATGATAATCAAATCTTATTTCTTTGTTCAATACCATATTATTTGCAATGATATTCAGATTATTATCATCCAGAAAATATTATTAAATGAATTCACTTTATGAACGATAAACTGTCATCCACATATTTATTATCAATGTTGAACTCAACTTGTGAAAATGATTCATCATATAACTGATTTTTTTTATTCATTCTCTTAAATCTGATTAAATAAATATATTATGTTAAGATTTTTATCGTGATTATTATAAACTAGTAGTACATTAGTCATTAATATTATCAGATTCTTTTAATAAATCGAAGAATTATTGTTCAAAATTTATATAATTTTACATTATATTCAGATGTATTAAATTTTATGAAAACAATTTCAAATTTACTTTCAATGTTCTTGCCAATGACTGATATTCAAAATGATGAAATAAAATTAAATGTTTAGGAAGAACTATGATCGTAATAGATATTAAAACAATGGGAAATCTACGAAAAATTGTTTCTGTATATTATAATAGTTTAAATAAAACAGAACTATTCACTCGTTTATTAAACAGTTTAATAGATATAAGTTAATATAATGAGATCTATTTTATTTTAATAACAAATTCAATACTTTTTCAGTAGTAATTTTTCTTGAGTGTTGTCTATATTTATACTTCTATTAAATTATTTTTATCTTTCATCATTTGTTATTTCAAAAGGAAATTCTTTATCAACTAATTGTTCATAAACAAATTATAAATCAAATATAAAACTTGGTTGATTAATGTAAACACGACGAATTAAAATAAGTTTATTAATTAAAAAATTTTCATCACATATTTGTTTCATTATTAATAACAGTTAAATTTAAAGAAAAAAAAGAAACTATAAAATATTGTCATATATTATTGCCTGTTAATTTAAATACAATTTTTTTTAAGTTTTGTTTTGTAGGCGTCATAAATTTGTGTAGCCATTGTAGATGTAAGTCCATGATGTAATTGTAAATGTCGTTGTAGAACTTTTTCATTCATTACATGTTTTTGACATGGCATATTTTTAAATAATTCTGGACGACACTCAATTAAATTAATCATATCATTCGTAAGGGGGCATTGAATGAAGCGATCATGATCAATTATTTGTTCATTTACATCAAATAATGTTGTATTTCCAGGATCATTACCATTTTCAATTGCATCATGTAAAAGCTTAGCATAATCTTTTTTAAGTTTATGTTTGTCTTTTAAATGAGACAATAAATTTGTGTAAGTTCGACCTGGTAAACACAAATCGATTTGATGTTTAGTTGTAAAAAGTCCAAAAGCACCATCAGCTGTTAATGGACATTGTTTAACAAAACTTCTAGAATTGATTAAAATAAAAACAAAAAATAGTTAGTTTTATTTTTATTAACTAAAAAAGCATACTTTTCAACACGAGAAGTATTGAATTGATCATCCATTTCGGTTGACTCCTTTTTAGCTTAAAATAAAGTAATTAATAAATTATTTTTTCGAAATAAAATTGATTTATTTGTAATTCTTATTAACATTTTGAAGATTTAGCTTGTGAAGATAGAAATCTCACACCCGAGGTCTGTCCAGCGAGATAGTATGACAACAAAACGGAGCAAAAGAAAAGACCAGACGAGGAATCGAACCTTGGACCTACCGCATACCGAGCGGATGCTCTACCAACTGAGCTATCCAGCTATATCTCTTCTCCGTTATGTGATCCACATACTGTTATATCATGTTAGTGGATTGATTTTATAAAAAGAAATTCAAATCGTTTTGATAGTAGAAAAAAAACAGCATTTACTACCGTCTCATTCCAGATATAATAAAGTCTATTCACATAGAACTATATGTATCTGTTTATGCTTTTCAAAAATAAAATTAGCTAATTTTTTTCCTGTTATAACCTCAAATAAAACACAGTCAATATGTAAATGTTAATTATTGTTTATTGTTGAGAAAGGTTCTAAACATTTTGAGATGAATTTTTCTCATCCTAATTATTCTATATTTATTTATTTAGTTATCAATTTAGATTTCGAACAATAATATCGTTATTCATCACAAGCGATTGTACGTATATGTATATATATTTGTTTTCTTTTTCTTTTTTTCTTTTCTTTTCATTTAATAGTGGTATGGACGATAAGTAGGTTATGTTTTTCATACCACACTATTTCTGCCTGTTCGTTCTACTATTAAATGAAACGAAGAAGAAATATATATATACATTTTTTTTTCTAATTAAATAAAACTATTTCGCAATTTAAATCGATAACAATCAGAATTTTTCCTTCGATTATCAACTAATTTTACTATCAACACTTAAAATGTGTATGTTCTGATAACAGAATAAAAAACAAAAATTTTCTATAAATTTTTAATGTAAATTTACCTTTTAAGCGTTTTGATGTTCTTAATTCATCTAAACATAAAGATCAACGTGAAAATTCATAAAATTTTAATATTTATTTCTTTAACATACGTGTTTCATCTGGTGATTTACGCTTAATTGTGGATCTAAACGATAATTATATAAATAATTATTTTAAATTGAAATAAAACATACTTAATTGGTGGTAAAACATCTTCAGGTGCTGGCAACACATTTTCTGGTGGTGAAATAATATCAGATGATGTTGGTAAATCAACGTTGATAATTATTCCACCTAAATAAATATTAAATAATAAGATTTTTATTTTGAAATTTTTTTTAAATAATTTACCTTCTCTATTTAATGAAATTGTTTGATCAACTAATTGTTGTTCATGTTGACCTTGTTGATTTTTTCTAACAATTTCAGGTATACATTCATTTGAGACTGACACAAAATCATGTACCATTTTGTCTGCTTTTTTGATCATATCAGCCATGAAGTGTAGCGATCGATGTTGTGAGCAAACAAATTGACTACAACATTGGCATTCATATAATTTTGTTGATCCTTCAGTGCATGTTGACTCATTACAATAACCTGTTGTAGACATATCTGAAAAAAGAATACTTTATATTAATATATAGTTATACTTAACAAAGAACAAATATTAAAAAAACAAAAAAATATTTTAAAAAAATACTTATTTGTATATCATCCATCATTTTATTATCTGATATGCTAAAACAAAACAGAAAAAAAAGATGTATTTATTTAATCTAGAAAAAAAAAGTAAATATTTAAAATGTTTTGTAAAAAATAAAATCATGTTGTAGATCTATATTGATTTAATTTGAATCATCTTAAGAATGTGAGTGTGAATAATCAAATTAACTACACTCACTACTATAAACTAGTAACTAGATTTTATTAATGTAATAAATCACTTGATTACAAATATCAAATAATCATTACCCTTATGATAGTTCATTTAGAATTGTTATATTCAACAGATTTTATTTGATTGCATTTGTCAAATAAACATCAACTAATAGATTTAACTTACTACATGTTTGCTTTGATTTTCAATTATTAAATTAATATATTTAACAGTTTTAAGTATTTTATTTATAATCTTTGGCATTGATGAATGCACATGATGAATATCAATAAGATGAATTTTGAAAACTTGTATATGCATCAACAACTTGAACATTATTTTTTATTAAACATGTTGCAGTTAGTATATTTTTATTAACAGCTCATGAAATAAGGTTAGAGAATGTTCCTAATAAACCATGATATTGATCTATATGGTTATTTATATCAGTTGTAATCTTTTTTTCGACATAAACGAATACAATAGTGTTTTTTATTAAAACCATATAACCATCATTCACTCATAATCGACAT